ATCCTTTCTCACTCTGTTAAGACATAAAAGTACTATTTAAAACAAAGGCTGAATTACACGAAGAACTAAGCTGCAAAGCAACTGCATTATGACTTCATTCAAACATAGTCATTGTAATTCTAATTAACCATTTAGAAAAAGTAAGGCAGTAAGAACATTTCAAGATTTACTGTAAATTTATGATATGCTTTTAAAGATTTTGTTTTAATCTATATTTTTATTCATCTTGTTAGCTATGGACATAATAAACATAGGTCAATATTGCATGGAAGATTTCTCAAAAAATTAAAATAGCAAGCATAACATAATTTTAGGTAAACTTTGTACAGCTTAATTTAATTGTGCATGTTTGGTTTTAAAAAAAGACTCCAAATTTTTCTGCTCAGTGATAGAAGGAAAGACTTCCCATGTCTTTTTAAATTTTTATTCAGGGAAAATATCTTATTTTGACTTAAATCACATTATTCTTGCTCTTAACAATCACAATTGCCTTAACATACTCTGCTGTCATTTCATTTGGCAGTTACCAGATGTATGTTATTCATGGTGGGTATTAGCATCCCTGAAGATAATTGGCAGGTTGCACTGGATTGACAGAAAGAAATTATGCAATTTTATCTTGGCTTGCCAGGATGAGGAAACAGGAGGATTTGCTGACAGACCGGGAGATATGGCAAGTAGTCTCAAACAGTTTTGATTTTACTAAATCATAGCAGTATTTGATGCTTAGAAACACATGTGCATTAATTTCATATTATCTAGAAATCTATAACAAATGAGGTGTTCATTAAAGGATTTTTCTTTTCAAATTAGATTAGTTCCACTTTAGTGGATGATCCGAAGATAACTTTATTATTATATTTTGTTTCTAATCATAAGTAGTTATTACTAGGGAAATTTGTTACCAGAATCAAGGATATAGCTAATCAAATGCTTTGGAAATCTTGAACCAGTTAGAGGAATAAACCTTCTGAATAAAATGTCTCTTGAAGATGTAACACAAAGGCTTTCAAATAAATGCCAGTAGATATAACCTTTATTCCTTGCCAAGATTTTATCGCAATCTGACTTTAGATATTATTTTAATTCAGAATGAGAAGTGGGGATATTGCAAGGAAAACCACTAGCCTATAAGTAAATATATTGTCAAAAATATGTGGGGCCCTTCTTAGATTAGTAAAACTGATCAATTTAACTTCACATTTAGTATAGAAGTACATCTTCCTGACCAGAAAAAGTATAAATATAGGTTTCATGATAATAAATCTCCTTTTGGAGTACATAGGTAGCAAGGAATAGTATTTTGTTAATATTGTCATTTTGGAATGGCTAAGCCCTAGAGCCACATATTAAAATTATACATGAAATGGAAAATATATTTCATTCCAAGCTCAAAACAAACTACAAATAGTTCTTGACTTGCAATCATTTGTTCAGCAAGCATTCAAAGTTTACAATGGTGCTGAAAAATGGAACTTACAACCTGTGCCTAAAGTTACAGCCAGTGCCAAAACCAAGGTATATCATACATGAAACATACCTATGCTCTTAATGTTAAAAGTACTCCTACCAATCTAGGAACCCATTCATTTAGCTGCACTGAATTTGAAGTTCAGAGGCAATGAATAAATTGACAAATGATGAAGATAGTCCCTACCGTCAGATTAGAATATAGTAATTTCAACCTATTGCATGTATAGACTTCTTTGAATTTTAGCATCATACCACAAATGGAGGTGCCCTGTTTCTTTTCCTCAACATTTTAAAGTATATACTTTGGAATTTAAAAAGAAGCTACAGTATTATTGATATATTGTATTCTGGCTAATTAGTTTGCATTTCCTTTAATTAAAATACTTCAAGCTTTTCCTGGTATTCTAAAAATGATTTGTTAATAAAATGTGTATCTCCACTGTTTTTAATTTGAATCTTCAAATTTACTTCATAAAGAAGACTGCCTAATCTTTTAAAATATATTATCCCATGGAAAGTAATGTTTTCAATAAATATACCTTAATATATTCTAGGTGGATCCATTTCACACCTTGTTTGGAATTGCTGGACTATCATTACTGGGTGAAGAACAAATTAAGCCTGTAAATCCTGTGTTTTGTATGCCTGAAGAGGTCCTTCAAAGAATAAATGTACAGCCTGAACTTATTAGCTAGGGTACAGTATGTATAAAATACTTTAATCAGCAGCTTTAATTTTTTCCATCAAGGCATTTCTAAATGTGTTTACATTATAAATTGCTACTTTACTGTAAGCACTATCATTTTGTACATGTTACCATAAACAGAGTAAATGAACAGAGTGTGACATGTACTTGAGGTTTTCAGTAACAGATATATGTATTTAAGTATTTTGCCTCCAGTGCTGCTTCACTTTGAAAATAACATACTGTGTTAGGTGCAGTAGATAAATACTTGAATTATGATTATGATACAATCATTCATCCATCTGGGTGATAAGCAACAAGTACTAGATAGTAAATTGTCCTAGGTATTCCTTCTGTTGATAAAATTTAGTTGTTTATTTTGCCAGTGACACTTCATGCACTTGAATTCCCCTTCAGGATATGCAATAATTCAGTTTTATTTATTTGTCAAACCATAATAGAAGTAATACAATGGTATCCAAATAGTTACTCTCTATTGAAGACATTATTTAATGAAAGCTAATAATACAATTATAATGTAACTTGGTTTTAACTAATGGCCTTGCTGAATTCTACAACTTGTTTTCTTTGCTCTAAAATATTTATTGTACGATGTGGCTTGAATCCCAATTTTAGCAGACTTGGAATAATTGTATATATTCAAGAATAAAGTTGTATAAGATTGTTTTCTGCAAGAGAAAATACTTGTTTCCATTAGAACTCTTGAAATACCTCTTTCACACGTCACAACTGCATTTGTAAGTTGACTAAATTTGAAGTATAAATAAATATGTTTTGCTTAAAACAGATTAAAGTTAATTGTAATTATAGAAGTATTTGTCCACAGTCCATTGGAGGTAAGAAGATTTCAGGCTTGCATTTTTGTTGCATTTCTGTTTTCAAAAAAGTGTCCCACAAGGTTTTTTTAAAAATCAAATATTTAGGTTCTAGCCTTTATGCTACATATGACTCATGCACATTAGACCTAGAAAGACAAATTGTACAAGTGGGTCTTCTGGTTATACAATACTTGTTTAGCAACAATCCAAAATAATCGCTAAACAAGTAATTTTGATCAGTTCTCAGCTTTCTGGCTACTGCAGTGTATCCACAGACATGTGATCACAATCTGGACTTGGTGCCGTATTCATGATTATGTAACAGCAAGCCATAGTCACCTGAATATGATTTCCAACATTCCCTGCTACCTTCTGACAAGCAAAGCCAACAGAAAATCTGAAGTTATGGTCATGTGAGATTATGGCAACCAGAATTGCCATTGGTAAGCAGCATGGTCATAGGACATCACACTTTGCAACCACATCACTTAGTGACAGCAATTCCCATCTCAAATACTGTAAATGAAGCACTAGCTATATATTTTCATTTGATAACTTTTTTTCCCAATAGCTGAAAACACAGCAAGATGGGGAAGTGGATTCGTGGGATGCTGAATTCTGGACCTGCACCATGTGCAACTGCAGAATTAAATATTCAGCTCTATGTCAATTCTGATCTTTACCAATGGACTATTTTCATTTGCTTTCAGTCTGTGGACATAGATGGAATATTAAAATGGCTACAGATTATACCAGTCCCAACCATACAATCTTCCATTTTTTTTCATTCTTGCCATATGGAAGAAGAAAGTAAAATGGTGCTAAAAAAGCAAAATCATCTTCAATCTTTTCTGCAGCAGTCACTCAATTTCTGTAATTTTAATTTTTAAAGAACTACAAAGTTACTTAAAGTGTGGCCTAAACACCAACCAAGATGTCTGATTCCAATTAAACTGAATTTTATTAGGTTATATGGTCAAACAATGTGTCATGCAAACATCCATTTTCTGAACTGATAATCCTATAAATATTGTATATTTTTAATGTGTCTTGAAAATCAATTTCTGGTACTAATAAAGTACATTGCTGCTAAACTGGCTTCAAAGAATATCAGGAAACCCGTACCACCATTCATTTGTACTGAAGAAAATGTATCCATTCTCCATTATCAGTCAATTTGCAACTGCTGCATTTTTAATTTTCAGTTTTCTTTAACAATGTATTTGGAAAGATTTTCCCTCTCTTTAATTTTATCTACATCTATCTGGATTAGATTAGCCTGTAGTATAAGCAATAGTTAGAAACAAGGATATGAAACCTTCATCCCCAGTAATGCTAAGGCTACTGACAGCACCGAGGGGGCCTTACTCTGGACGAAACAATCTAAAATTATTGAAGTTTAAGTGCTATTACTATCATTTCCCTTGCATTCCTGCTACAAATGAACTCTGCAATGTTAACTGCTTAGGAAGCGCCTTTTTTTAAAGTACTTTTTTAAAAATACAACTCTGGGCTAGTATACTTGAACGGCTTAACCAAAGGTCCTGTGTAAACTCTGGATTGCGGTTCCCATCATCTGAAAGTGGTGACACGCATCACGTTTGGACAACCCAATAGATTGTCAAAAAGATTTGTCAGAAAAGCCGTCCCGCTGAACCCTCCACAGTTAAGGGTGTTCTTTTCTGGTGGGTTGTTCAATTTTGAGACAACGGCTGGAAATGTTAAGAGGGAGGGGGCATACTTAAATCATACTCTCAAATGTTCACCTGTGTAAGAAAGTTCCTCCCCAAGGTTGAGGAAACTCGGATGAGAATTTTTTTTGTCACCTAGCGAAATCAATTAATTGGGAGACACCCCTCTATGCTGTTTGAAATAGTACAGTCCGCTTTCTCCATTCTGCACAGCGGAGGCACGGGCTGACTTCTGAGGCAAACTGGGCGGAAGGCTTCTTCAACTGCCTCGGGCTGGAGTTTCCCAGAGGCGATCCTCGAATCAAGTAGATCATGCAGGAAGCAAGTGCTGCTTCCACCTCTTATTCGGGCCGCTGCTCGTCTTCTTCTGGCCCCGAGCGTCAACCCCGTTACCAATTCGGTCTTCAAGAGACGCCGGGCTTAACTGACGAGCCCTCTCACCCCCAGCCGCGGAAAACGGCCACGAGGGGCTCCAATGGCGCCGCGATCTTCCCTCCGAGAGGGTTGGAAGGTGGGCATTGCTCGAAGAAAATCCGATCGCAGCTCCCGAAATAGTGAAAACAACGCTCTCTTCTGGGCGGAAACCTCAATCCCCAACTCGCCTTTCAAGGCTTCTCTAATAAGTGAATGGGAAGCATTAGAGCAACTGATTCTCAAAGTTTAGGTCTCTTTGTAACAAGTTACCCAGTTTTTGAATGGGCAAAACTGCAAAACTTCAATTATTATTTATCGAATATACTTTTATCCCACCTTTGTCACTTCATTAGTACAGGTAGTCCTCGACTTAAAACAGTTTGTTCAGTGACTGTTCAAAGTTACAATGGCACTGAAAAAAGTGACAACTGTTTTTTCACAATTACCATCTAGCATCCCCTTGATCGTGTGATCAAAATTCAAATGCTTGGCAACTTACTCATATTTATGACCTTTTGCTGTGTCCCAAAAGGCCATGTGATCCCCTTTTGCGACCTTCTGACAAGCAAAGTCAAATGGGGAAGCCAGATGCATTCAACAATTGATTTACTAACTTATCAACTGCAGTGATTCAATTAACAACCAAGTCAAGAAAGGTCATGAAATGGGCAAAACTCACTTAACAAATATCTCACTTAAAACAATAATTTTAGGTTAAATTGTGGTTGTAAGTGGAGGACTAACTGTAACTCAATTTGGCAGACATACATAATAGTCCTCCCTCCTATTTTCTCCATATGAGAAGGGTTGACTGAGAGAGTCATTGGTCCAAAGTCCTCCAGTCAGGTTTTTAGCTTTTTCTGATGACTCTGGCTATTAAGCATTTTATTTTATTCACATCCTTCCTTTTGGTCAGTAGCTCAGAGTTATGCTTAGTTTCCCCTCCTTTTTTTTCCAGAACAGCCCTGTGGGGTGGCTCACAGGCTTTGTTCTCTTTTATGGCAATTCCACTTTTTAAATACAGTCTACTGGCTCTCTCTATTGATCTGATCCAGAGGTCTCCAAACTTGGCAACTTTAAGACTTGTGGACTTCAACTCCTAGAATTCTCCAGCCAGCGTCTTATAGTTGCCAAGTTTGGGGACCCCTGATCTGATCACACATCTGACTTGTTAACCCTTGAATGCAGAATATTTATCTGAATATTGGAATGATGAATTTTATCTTGGTAAAAGTATCCCGAAGAAAGCTTTTCCTATTATTTTTAATTATGGGTAAATATATATACATATTAATACATATAATTAATACATATAAATACAGCTCATGTACTAAGATAACATGTCCTATATGAGGGAAACAACCATTTTTTACAAACTTGAATAAAATATATAATTAGTGGATGTTGCATTGGACAACTTTCAACACTATTAGATGGGGTTAAAATTCTGAGGTAAATTAAGCCATATTAAATATCAAATAATTTATTAAACATATAATTTAAGGCTATAATTATAAATATGCACAGACAATTTGACTAATGGATCTGATATGTAGAAAATAAAAGGTGGAATTCAAAATAATTTTTAAACTAGGACATTAAAACTCTAAAGGGGCTTAGTTTTTTTCTAAATAAACTTGCAAATGATCAAGCAGTTAGAGAGCAAGAAGATTCTGCTCAGTTATATTACATTATATTGATTGATTCACATACAAAATATATTTTTATAAGAGGCATTATAGTTTGTGTGTGATGCTAAGAAAAAATATGTATATTTCTGACTTGATTATTGTAGTTTAAATTAGCTTACCTATTTTATTTGTTTTAGTGGATCTGTTCTAAATCTAGCTCCAGTCCATAGGATGATAACCAATGATGACATTCTACTAGCATACTTTTTTATGGCTAATTGAAATATTTTCTCTCACACATATGTCACTTATCTAGTCGTAATCTTAATGTAAGAATGTAACCATACACAGCTTCTAAATAATAATAAGTCTTTATTGATTAGCCCTTGGGCCATATCAAAGTGCAAAGTTCCAACAGCAATTTGTTACTAAAATTTAATAAAAGCAATTCAAAATGAAATTTGATAAAATACTATTTAAAATGGAAATTAATAAAATACAATTTAAAATGAAATCTAGACAAAATACGATTTAAGATGAAATAGTAATAAAGTACAATCCAAAATAAAATTGTAATAATGTACAATAATTTAAGATATAGATAAAATATAATAACATTATATTTTGGAGTCGCCCTTGCAATTTACCCCAATCAATCCCACATATGCAGATCTCAACCAAATCATTTTGTTTAAATACTGTGCTACTTTAAATGTTATTTTCAAGTTCTGGCCGGACATAAGGTAAGTTATTTTGATATGAGTACGCTTCTAAATAAGCATGCATAGAATTGTCCCACAAAACAAAGAAAAGTACATATTATTGAAAAATATAAAATGGGGAAGTATTAGTGGGCTAATACAGGAGGTGAAACTATTTGTGGCTTTGCTTTCTGTTTTTTTTAAGATTCCAGGCTAAATTTGGATTGTATTCAGGTTAAATTAGTTATACTTTAGTTCCATTGAAAATAATGGGATTAAGTTATTAACTTGTTCTATTTGTTCAGTGTAACTCCATTTTCTTCCTTAATTAATGGACCTATGAATTTTATATATCTGTTCCACTGTGTAATTGAAAAGGAAATCTTTTCTTAGGTGAGCAGAACCTAGTAATTTAGGAAATAGAACTTTGTGACTTTGACAAGGAGTACTTAGAAATTGGTTAATGGATTGGCTCCATTTTATCTCCAATGTGGGTGTCAGTAATCTGAAAGTATCATCATCTAGTTTTCTGCAGTATCAGGTGTCCCCAATTTTTAAAAATGTAGGAAAAAATTATCTTGAAAAGTTTAGAACTCTAATGAGAGGTAGATGAGTTTCAATTTATACTATATTTAAGATATATTTATATATCATATATTAATGTTGGATATCCCAGAGCATCTAAGGGTGGAAATGCTATGGCACTCACAGGCACCAAATTTCCAAAAAACTTCTTTAAAAGAATTAAATGTTTTATTACTAAATAGTGTTTCAAATAACTGTCTTAGAAATAAAGAAATGCGACTACTTTATATTAAGTGCTTTCAAAGGAAATTTTTTATTTTTATTAGATTCATATTTTGGAGACAAAAGTTCTTATGCAGAAAACATTAGTACAGTAAATATGACAAGCCCTTCTTCCACTAAGGATATAAAGATTTCTAGAGTACGGAAAACACCTGTCTCATCCAACAGACCAGGATGTAGAAACTGGACTCCTTTCATGGGATATTCAGGTAAAGAAGCTGGTTTACTTCATTTCAAAAGCAATATTCATACTAAATATACATATATTGTATCCAGATTGAAATTAATTTCAGTTAATTTACTTCTATGTTACAAAGTGATTGTAAAGATCTCTAGAAGGATCTTTTTAAACTGGATAAATGGTCAACCAAATTGCTAATATAGAGCAATTTAAATACACAAGGTCTTCAACTTACAACTATTCATTCAGTGACAAATTAAAGTTACAACATAATAGCAATAGCACTTAGACTTATATACCGCTTTATAGCTTTACAGCCCTCTCTAAGTGGTTTACAGAGTCAGCATATTGCCCCCAACAATTTGGGTCCTCATTTTACCCACCTTGGAAGGATGGAAGGCTGAGTCAACCTTGAGCCTGATGGGATTTGACCTGCCAAACTCTAGGCAGCTGGCTGCAGAAGTAGCTTGCAGAACTACACTCTAACCACTGCGCCACAGAGGCTCTATAAGTTGTAACTTTACAACTCTTTTCAGAAACAGAGTCATGTATGATTGTTTTTTACACTTGTGACTGCTGCAGCATCTCTGTGGTCATGGGATCAAAATTGGATGCTTGGCAACTGCCATGTATTTATGACGGTTGCAGTATCTGGGGTCATTTAATCACATTTTGTGACCTTCTCAAAAGCAAAGTCAGTGGGAAACCAAATTCACTTAACAACCATTTTTCTAACTTAACAACTGTAGTGATTTACTTAACAACTGTGACAAGAAAAGTCTTAAAATGGGTCAAAACTCACTTAACAATTGTCTTGCTTAGGAAAATAAATTTTGGACTCAATTGGGGTCATAAGTCAAGCACTATCTGTTCAAAATATGCACATTAAGAGAAAAAAAGTAATTTTGCATGTATGCTGATTTAGGTCCGAGCTAACTATGACTAACCAGAAAAGAGATCTTGGATTCATAGTCCATAGTCCATTCAATAGGTCCATAGTTTTAAAGTTAAATTCCATGATGGTATGGATCATAGGAAGAGTTGAAAATAAAAGCGAACAATACTGTAATTACATACACATTTATTGTAGAACTGTATCTAGAATGCTATGTCTGTTTGCCACATCTGCAAAGCAGTATTATAAAGATGGAAAAAGTGTAAGGAGATAGCTGTCAAAATTGCCATAGGGCTTGAACTCTCCTGTGAGAACAAGCTAGAATGTTTGATTTTAAAAAATCATGACTGATAGAGGCAGTTGTATAAAATAATGCATTATTTGGATGTCTCTCTTTCCAAAGTGTGCTGAATGGAATGAGATTTAGAACAGGTAATCAAAAATACTTCTTCACCTTATGCATTTGTGAAAATAAAAAAAAAGTGGTGATAGCTACTGACTTTGATAGCTTTAAAAGGGCATTGGATAAATTCCGAGTACATAAGAGGCTTGGGGTACAAGCTTCTTCTGTTAGCTCTAGTTTGTTTGGGGATGTGGGGGAGGCAGCATATCATTTGCAGAGGAACAATAGCTGGACAGGAGTGTCCTAAAGGAACATGGCTTCTTTGAGACATCAATTATGGTAGCAGAAGGAAGGAGTAGGTTACTGTTTAATAAGTCCAGCAAGGGAGCCAGAGCCAGAAGGTCCCTCTGAGTGCAGTCTCTATTGACATGGGAATAAAAATGTTTTTGTAGGCAAGAAGTGGCTTTTTTCAACTAAAGAACACACATACGCACACTCCTCCATGGCGCTTTATGCAGATACTGTATGTTTTTAGTGTTATGTTACAGAAATATCAAAAATATCAGTTAAAAACAATGGCTGATTTTCTACATCACATTAAGCTATTACTGCCCTATGGCTTAATGAATAAGACAAAATTAGCTAGGCCATTAATTCTAACTATGGCTAATATACTAAACACCTTCAAGGTTCTGAGGTTCAAATAATTCCCATTTAATGAATGCAAAAAGAGCAAAATGGAAGTAATAGGTTAAATTTAAAATGACATTGCCAATTAGCATTTTCCAACTAGCATTTTTACAGTGGGGTTTAGAAGCAAAACCAACAGGAAATAAAAACAGCAAAACTCCCCAAGATTACTTTGGTATTTCAAAGACTGAGGAGAAGAAAGAAGAAAACTAATAGGTACTTATAATGGTCATAAACAAAATAAAGCATAAGGTACCATCTTGACATCTTCAGATTTTCTTACGATGGAAAGCCCAACCAAATGCCCCACCTCAGTCTTGGCAACTCGCCCATGGCATCTGTGGCACATGCATATTGTTTGTAGTCAGAGATGTGAGAAAACAGATGTGAGAAAACAGTTCTGGAGAATAAGATGTGGGGATGATCTAGTCATAGATTCTCTAATAAGAGGACTTTCTATGGAGGATTATACTAACTTCTTGTGTATGGAGATTCTCAATCATCCAGGTCATGGTTGTCCCAAAGGTGCTTTTTTTCAAGAGGCAACTGGACTTTCTGGTTTTTCTTTGATTCGCTTCTCACCCAAGAAGCTTCTTCAGCTCTGACTGGATGGTAGGGAATGAAAGGATTTATGCTATGCTATGTTATGCTATTCTATGCTATGCTAAATCCTTCCATTCCCACCATCCAATCAGAGCTGAAGAAGCTTTTTGGATGAGAAGCAAAATGTCTTCAAAGAAAAACAAGAAAGTCCAAAAGCACATTTGGTACTAAGTTGTTGCAGGTGAATTCTGCAAGAGGCAACAGTTGTCCTATTTTAAGAGACATCCATCTTAAGTATTGGTTAAATAATTTATTCACTCTTTATGACTACCTTTCCTAGGTCAGAAGATACAAAGATGACATTAATTTGAATGTCTAATAGTGGTTTAGAAAAAATTGTGTCTCTTCAGCGAATGAAAAGTCCTTGCAGGAATAAACACAGTCACTTTGCTGTGTTTTGCTCAGTGACATGCACGGCAGGATGAGACATAGCCCTCAACATTTATTCTCACTCTCAGCTACTCGAAGTCTCTTGAGAAACCTAAAGCAAGGTTTTAATTCTCCCATGTGTTCTATTGTCATGGCATGGTTGCAATATTTCTTCTATTATAGGAAGGGGAGCATATGAGTTGCTGTTGTGATGCAACTATCTGTCAATCATAGAGAAAGGGGATATATCAGTCAGTGGGGGCTCACTGGAAATAATCCATCTGAGACCTGGTTAAGCCTTTATGGTAGTCAGATCAGGAAACAGGCATCCCAAGGAGTATAGGAATACTGCTTTATTGTAAAATATAATAAAACGATGTTGAATGCCCATCAATAAAAATAACCTAATTTTGAATGTTAATTTAAAAAACCATTGTTATTTAGAAAGAATCAGCATAGTCATACTCCATTTTGTGTTAAGGCTGCAGCTGTGGAGATGGTCAATGGCATTAAGTATCTGGGGGTGCAGATAATCTGACTTGGTCTCTATATATGTTATCTTTAGTGAAGTGTGCAAACCAGCATTTGCATTTCCTGTGTCGGATGAGGAGACCACAACTCTCTCCTTTCAGTCCTGCCCACTTTTTACAGAGCCACGATTGAGAACCTTTTAACAAATTGCATCACTGTTAGCTTTGGTGGCAGCAGTGCCTCAGATAGAAGATCCATACAGAGAGTGGTAAGGACAGCTGAGAAGATTATAGGAAGCTTGCTTCCTGTTATTCAGGATACTGCTTATAATGTGCTCTAACTATGTGCTTAGAACTTGATGCATTGTTACCACACACTCACTTCATGATCTGTTTCTATTGCGCCATTCTGAGAGGGAGTTTCAAAGTACCTATAACAGGACTACTAAATTCTGTAACAGCTTTTGTTTCTTATGCCCTGTCTTGTAAATTCCTAGGATTCCCCCCCCCCCCCGCCCCCAATCTATGCGCATACATTCACTCTAGACTGTGATGTTCCTCTGTCGTGTGTGTGTGTGTGTGTGTGTGTGCATGTGGGTATTTGCATAATGGTTATCATTTGAGAGCTGAATGCAATGAAATTCCATTTCAATGTTTGCTGAATAATGTACATTCAAAGTTATAATAATGATCTATTCTCTTCCTAATCTATTCCTATTCTATTCTAATTCTTTTAAACTCCTGTTTGTAGCAAATAGCATCATGATAGGTTCTTTGTTTTCTTCCCCCTCACAGCTCCTTTCACAGGACTGAGTTCTGTTTAGTTTTTCCTAAACTGTTCGTTCAAGGTTATCTCTGTGCTCCTTTATAACATGATACCTTAGTAGAAAATTATGCTGAAGGCAGTATTATTAATAAGAGTCAGCATTACTCTGGAGCTCTTGTAGCATTTCATTTTTACATCAGAGATACTAACAAAGATCTTCATTCTCATGGGAAAGAGAAATTTGTTAATAAATCAAGATCTCTGAAATGTAAATGGAGTAATTCCAGTTTGTATTTTTGATCAAATTCTTTTGAGTACTGCAAAAGAGAAATGCAAAACATAAAACAGGTTCTAAACTTTTATATTACAATCTTATTCAAAATTGTTACATGACCACCAACTGACCTAAGCAAACCTACAGAGCTTTTCAATAAATTACAAGATGCCAGAGATCAATACTGTACACTATAGTTTAGGAATGTAGTTTGGCAATGGCCCAGTTCTGGGAATATATCTCAGAAATGTCAAAATTTATTGGTGTCGTGGGTGAAGAAGGCATCCTTTGTGAGGGTCAAATACCAACATCTGCAGAGAACATATACTGTACAGTAGGCATAGTCTTTCCTGCTTGAATAAAATAGTTTTTGAATGTTATACTCTATAGCCATTAACTATGATATCAGCAGCTGATGTCACTATCTTCTATTTATATATCTGGAGAAATTAAGAAATATAGTCATGACATTGGATACACTTCCATGAAAATTGCTCTCATTCAGATCATTTGATACTTCTTTACAAATCATAAGTAAAGGAAATGGTAGAATGTCTTTGGATAGAAAACTATACTCTGTCATCAAATGTTATTGAAGTTTGTCCTGAAAGTCTGGTTTTTAAAAAACAAAACAAAAAACCCATACCTATTACAATGACAACTGCAGATAGGTAATTCTTTAAACTTAAAACTGTAGAAAACAATGCAAGGCAACATACCACAAAAATAAGAATAAGCTGGTTGGTGCTCTCAACTGAGAATGAGCATGCCAGAAAACGGGAAACTCTGAAGATAGTCACTATGTTTGCAGAATAAAAGACATGGCAGAAAAACTTTTGAGTAACCCTGTACAACTCCACTGCCTGCTTGCAAACAATAAGAATAATGTTGCTGGGCCCTGATTACTGCCCACATGATTTGTAAAAAGTTGTGCTGTATCTGAGACCATGCAACATTCATGCAGTGTGGATACTCTGACTAGCAAATCAGACAAGCAGAAGAAAAGGAAGAATGCCTTGCCTGCACAGAAGGAAACCTATCACTGTTGCTGTTTCTAATTTATTAAGATTTGGTTTGACATACTGACATGTTTTATTTACTATTATTGTACTCGGCACATGCTGAGTCTCACGTTTGCATTTACATTTACATTTTTAAAAAAAACAACCAATTCAGTTTGGTTTACTGCTGAGCTTTGTATTGCTTATCATTGCATTCTGTATATTTGTTCACCACTCTGTAGTTTAATTAGACTGCACAGTATGATCATTGATAATATCAGTGTTCCCAAAAAGTTGCTGAACAATATGGTGCCCCTCAAATATGTTGAACTATAATTCACTGATTGTTATATAATCTACTAGGTGGCTGTAATAATTGGTCCAAACTGTTATTGTTTGGACCAGTAATTGGTCTTTCTGTAATAATTGATCCAAACTGTTTTAACAAGAAGAGTTTGGACCAATTATTACAGCCACCTAGTAGATTGAAGAAATTCTCTATTTTTTCCAGAACTTTCCTTAATTTTAAGAGACATTGAAGTGTGGTCCAGTCAGTTGTCAAATTACTTTTTGAAATAACCACTTGACGTACACTTATCAGTTCAAATGGACAAAAATGTCAGAGTATTCATTTACTGGCAGAGACATAATTAACAAAGTCAGTGAGTAGGCATGGTAACAGACCAGCCAATGGGAGCTGACCTGGAAAGTGAAATTGGAAGTTCTCTCTCTGTTTTTGCTCCTGTGCTGCTGAAGTTACTTGCAACGTGTTTCTGTTTGAGTTTACTCCATGTTGGAGAAATCTACAACTGGTTTGTAAGACATTAAATGAAGCATCAGCCATCTGTGTTTGTTTTTCTGGCGCTGAATTAACGCTGCAAAAACTCTGAATAAGAAAATACAGAGAAACTGATCAATAAAGCAGCCTTCTTTAACTTCTGCCCTCCAGGTGTGTGAACTAATTCCCACTATGTTCAGCCAACACAGCAAAGTCAATAGCATGGAGAAGGATGGTTAGCAATCAAATGGAGTTTACAAATTCCTGTTTAAAAATACATTTTTAAATAATACAAAAAACTGCTTGTTTCCTGTTATTTCAAACAACTAGCAAACATATTCAACACCTTGGAGATAATTGATAGAAACTTAAATATATTAATAGTTTGCATGGCATTTGATGTTTTTGATGATTATTGTATGTATTTTCTTTTATGTAGTTGTTAAACTGGACAGCAGAGGGCAGTATAAAATTGCACTCGGATTTTAAATTTGTTTTTATTGAAAGAGCTAGAAATATGATGTTAGTTATGGTATAAAAGAATTATAATTGAATAGCACCTTCAGGAGAGGAGAAAAAATTGAAATAAAATATCTTACATTGGGATTCCAGTTAGTGTTTCTGAACTAAAATGTTAGAGACTTCTCAGATACATAATACTGAAAATATTAGGTGATTATTTTTAAAAAACATTTATGCTATTCCAAATATAATATGTACAAATTCTATGTTAAGATTCAACAAATACCTATATAGAATTATAGATATGGATTGTTTAGATTATCAAGTCCAATTCCTGCTCAGTACAGGAATACAATTTAAAATATTCCAGATTGATTACAGTTTAGCATTGCTTAATAATTATGCCAGCCAGCCCACATTTAATCCTGCAAATAAGCCATACCACGGTCTCAACAGAGACTTTGTTGACATATATGTTATCATATACTACTTCCAGAATTTTCTCTAAATCTATCAAGGAAGATATAATCCATTAAGGAAGACAAAACAAGAAATAAATGAGGTTAGTCTTCCAAGATGGTAACAGGATGATCTCTTTATGATTTTTATTTAGATGTCAGCATGGCTACCTTAAATTATAGATGTCAGAGAAAGTACCCTAAACTTGATTCTTTAGGATTTCTATGCAGGGGAACAACCCTGGAGGCAATTAGAGTTGAAGTGGTGTCAAACTTCCAGAATGTTTATTGGACATACCTTAAAACACATAACTAAATTTTTAATATATAATTTTTATTTATTTTAAGGTTTTATATTGTATTTTAATTTTTGAGTTAAGCTGCCTAGAGTAGCCTCAGTGAGACGAGTGATATAGAAGTTTAATAATTAAATAATAATAATAATAATTTTTAAATGTTCAGTTGACTGAGTTTCATGTTTAATGAATAAAGTATGAAATAATCATGTCTGCTGTGTAGTGGAAGAGGAAGGCTTGCTAAAGTCTTACTTTGTAGCAACCATAAATCCTCAAATGGTTATCCATTTGCCAACCTCTTTGCAAGGTACACTAATAGCCAACTGATAGCCAATATATGACTGGGATGCTATCATTTATTTTTCTCTGATTCTGGAATGGGAACATTTCCCATGAAGATAATATGTAATTAGCCAAGAGTGCAGAACAATCCAGTTTGCTTCCATTTAGTCCCTCCCTTTAGGCACAGCTAGATAATTATATGTATTATGTGCAAAATGAATAGGTGTGAATTGAATATATTTTACTAACATTCATTTTCATGTTAGAGATAGTCTGAGTTATAAAACAATTATATTTACACAAAAGAAGTTTTGAAACCTATGATATGATGTTTTAAGCAAATTGAAATGTTTACATTTAAATCCCATTTGAAGGGAAAGAAACCTCAAGAATATATCTCAGACAATTAAAAAAAAATATCCTAATGATTGTAGCAATGTAAACACACAATTAAATTGCAAGACCCAAACACTGACCTAGCAAAGACTGTGAAAGGAATTGACAGGAAGTTAATAGCTCAATATAAAGAACAATGTTTAAAGAGCACTGGAAAAATAAGTGAAGATGTGTGTTATTTGAAAAATATACTCTAATTCTGCACAGTAATTCAGAAAGCAACAACATGAATATAATTACATTTTGAGGATATGTTTGTTTTCCACAAACTGATAATAGCCTGATGAAACAATGAGAATGTTCCAGACTTAAAGACAGCATTCTTCCCATAAGAGCAAAAAGTCTCCCCAAGTGTAAATTTAAACTTAAAGTATTAAATGTAAATTTAAACCTAAGCACTAAATTTAATAATATAAATCATCAAGGAAAAACAGAATTCATATTCAGCTGTTTCCTATTTATTTATTTGTTCAATTGCTGAAAAATATAGTTGATTTTTTAAAAATCAAGTTACAATTTGGTACATCGATTTTTTTTGCATTTGCAAAAAAAAAAAAAAAAATGCCCTGCTGGCACTTTTTGGCTAGTATGCCAAATTTTTAAGAGTAGGACAATTATTTTAAATACCAGTGGCAATCACCAACTGCCACTCATTATAAATGCTATCCATTTTGTAAGAGGAGTCCTTGGTGCTCTCTGAGCTTGGTTATTTTTTTGCAGAAAACATAATCCAAACTAGGTAACATCATTAGTGCTAGGTGGTGCTAGATGCTGCTCGTACTATTGATGTTACCTGGTTTGGTTAATGAAATATCTGCAAGAAAACAACCAAGCTCAGAGAGCATGAAGGATCTCTCATTTTAGCCCTGAGCTACAAATATTCTCCTTTATTGATTTTTGTAAGACTTTTTCAGAGCAGGTCTTGGCTCAGTCAGTACTTTAAATGTATCTTCCACAGTTACATCATCTTCAGCAGTCTCCACTCACAGTATTGCATCGGTTATTGTGGCTGTAATAGAAGGGAGAGGATTTGCTAGAGGTGAAGTGGGAATGGCAAGTATTGACCTAAAAAATCCAGAAGTCGTACTATCCCAGTTTGCTGATAATACAACATATACCAAGGTAAATTCTGAATACTATAATCTTCATGATATAAACAGCTAAGATACTTGCACTGAATCAGCAGAATTATGCATAGCCATTGTTCTGGCATTAGGTTTCTAAATTTTTCTGATTGCTTTTTATTGACGTTAGAATTGAACTTGGTTGATTGCAAAATCATAAAACTGTATGTGCCAAATCCAAATAAACATAATGTTATATATAATGGTTTACAGGTAGCAATAACAATAAAACATAGAAAATAGTGGTTCAATAGTACCTGCTCATCCAACAAGATCCCTCCATATTCCTTTGGTCAGGAAAGACCATTTACAAAGATTACAAAATTAGTCTTCCCAATTGTGGTACCCTTTCTATATAACAGTTTCTTCCCAGTTACCCGAATTACCCCTACAACTGTCTAGGAAGGCTGTTATAACATGATTAATATGCCATCCAGCTTTGAAAGCCTGAATACTGTGAACTTATCTCTGGCCGTGAAAGATTTATTTTAGTTAAAGAAAATGGTAATTAATATGATTAATGTTATATGTGTTGGTTATGATATCAATTAAATGTTTTATTTTTTTAGTGCGTTGTTTTAATGGGATTCATTAAAACTCATTAATGGAAGGTGGGATGTACGTCACTCATCACTATTGGAATAATCTATGAACCAATAAAGAAAAAAAGAATGAGAACATTTAGAGTTTCAGGCACTATGGAAACTTATCAGGGCTGAGACCAACAATGAATGAAACCAGAGCCCGTTGTGTATTGAAAGAGAGTACAACAGTAGCCTCTTAAGTCTGGAGAGATTGACAGTAGTAACAACATTCTGGCATGAAGGGTTGAGATCTCCCACTGCTTGAAATCTATAGTCCAGAGCAAGAGAAGTTTGTCTTCCAACTGATGGGTGGGACAAGACTTCTTTTTTTGTTGTTTCTCTCAAACAAGCAAAACTTATGGAAGACATATTTACTGCAGTACTGCTTGACAGAAAATGGTGAAACATTGATCCAGGATTGTAGTCAATGAGTGTACAACAACCACATTTTATGAACAGTTTTGGCAAAACTCTAGTTTTGTTCACATGGAAATGTTTGCTATTGCTTTCTTCCTTGGTGATTGGCCAAACTTGGCTGAGTGTTCCCATTTTCTCCATTTTAAGAAAAACAAAAATTTATATATATTTAATTGTCTCAGTCTTTCCTGTATATATTGCCTCTAGTATTTAAGTCTAGATGCAGAAATGTGTTTATTTTACTGACATTATATGAGTAAATACAATAAAATTTATAATAAAGCTATATGTTCTGAACACTGTTCAAACAGACCTTTTTACTAAACTGTTGTACATTTTCTAGGTTATCACCAAACTCAGAATTTTAACACCCTTAGAAATAATAATGTCAAATACTGCCTGTGATTCAGGAAATGCAACAAAACTGTACACTTTGATAGCAGAAAATTTCAAGGTATGTTTAAAACTCCTTACTAGTTTATTTTTAAACATTATACTGTAGTTATTTCCCAATTTTATAGAGCCTTTGGTTATATCCAGTTCTGGAGGCACTCTGCTGGAAGGCAGAAAGTAGAATTCACTATCCATTTATCCTTTCATCACACCCGAAAAGATACAAATAAATGTATCTCAGGGGTAGCAATTTTACATTAGTCTGGATACATCTGAACTTGCATCTAGTTTTCTGTGGTTAAAGCCCTTTCTCTGATTTAGAAAGAGAAGTCTAATAATCTTATGGCCCCTGAAGTACCTTTCCAAGGGCCATAACCTAATATTGACGGTGTGAATAGAAATGGCTAGATGTAATAAAGATGAAGTTCCTTTTTCTCTCAGTCATTTATCTCTGATATGCCAGATCAATGCTTTTATTTGGGAATATATCCTACCTAGATAATAAACGTTTCACAAGCATACTGACCTTGCACTGAAGAACAAGACATTTTAATTTCAAAGGTCATCTTCCTTTCCTTTTTTGATTTACATTATAAAATGAAAAAAGGATATCAAATAGTACTTTATTTTTGCAGCAATGACCAAATCACAATGTCCTAGTGCAGGGGTGTCAAAAACTCAATTTCATTGGGGGGGGCATCAGGGTTGTGTTTGACCTCAGGGAACCAGGGTGAGTGTGGCCAGCATGATGTCACTCATGTCACCTATGGTGGCCTGAGCTCTTTGCCAGAGAAAACGGGCTCCCAGTCTCTGTTTTCAGCTGGCACAGCCTCCTGCAACCCTCTGCCAGCAAAAATGGAGCTTGGGGGGCTGCATGCAGCCCTCATGAGCTCCATTTTCAGTTGGGATGGCCTCCTGCAAACTTCTGCCAGCGAAAACGGAGCTTGGGAGGAGCCCCATTTTTGCCAGTCCTTCACTATTTACAGGTCAGGCCCTCAGGCCAGATCTAAGCACCCCACAGTCCAGATCCGGCCCCCAGTCCTTGAGTTTGACCCTCCTGTCCCAGTGTCTCTCCCCCCGCCCCACTGTTATTTCTTCAAATTTTCCCTATTCTTTCCAATCTGCATGATGGATATCTTAAGTCTTTATCTGACTAGCAATTCAACTTCTTCCCCCATTAATTATCCCACACAGTCTGGTCCAGGTATTCCTTGACTTGTGATTAAAACCGTAAGTTGTAGCAGTTGTTAATTAAGCAGGTCACCAAATGACCATGCCCAATTTTACAACCTTTTGTTTTCCAGTGGATGTTAAGTGAATCACTGTGTGCATCAAACACTGTGATTGTTAGGTGAATGCAGCAATCATTAAGGAATCCATTGTCTGCAATGGGTAGGGTTTTTTGTTTTGTTTTTTTGCTGGAAACAAGAAGTAAACACCAGATTCTGGCAAAAATAAAATGTCACAAATCATGGTTATGACTGCGGGATGCTGCAAATGGCTGTAAATGTAGATAAGTTTCCAAATCCCAAAATACTACAGGGTGGGGGATTAGGAGACCATCAGAATTTTGAAACTAGGTCATAAGTAGCCCTGGGAAGTTCTGTTGTAATTTCAAAGAGTCACCAAGCAACTGGTCGCAAGTCGAAGACTATTTGTACAGATCTGTATAAATATAAAAAGCCTCAGATTTGGAAGTCATGAGTCAGGACAGTGTCAACAGTGTGAGTCCTGCAAAGAACTAGCAAACTAACATCAGAGATATCATGAGTCTCTTGGCAATTGTAAGCAAGAGTAGCACAGAAGCAGAAAGCAAGATGGGGGGTTGTTCTTTTCTTTTCCTATGCCCAAGCAAGATAATCTTGTGCTCTGCCTCAGCTTAACAGTGTTTGTACAATAATAATTTCTCTTAAAAAGAAATTTAATTGTACATGCATGCTAGAACTGTCATCTGTGAGCTGCACAAATATGGACAATCACCAGAAATCAACAAAGGTAATATGTAGATCTGAATCAATCCAATGGTAAATTCCTATTTTGCCTTTTATCAGTATTTGAACCTAAATAACTTTGTTTTTATTACTTTTAAATATTGGTAATACACTAGAACTGTTTTTTTTTTATTACAATGACACCATTGCTTCCTTTCAGAATGTGACTTTTACCACAGTCCAGAGAAAATATTTTAATGAAACCAAAGGTTTGGAATACATTGAACAATTATGTACTCCAGAATTCAGCACTGTTTTAATGGAAGTTCAGTCTAAGTATGTATGTTCTAAAAATATTTCATTCACTTTAGTTTACTGTATTATTGATCATTTTTCAGTTAGTAACTTGGAAACACTATAAGTCTTTGTCACCTTCTATTTGACTAAATAAATATTTTTAAATATAACACCACATATATTAACTTGGACCCAACTTGTATTTTAGACTGAAATGGATCCAAGGAATATGAATAAAAGTTTCAGTAGTTGCCTTTCTGTAGGCCTCTTGGGACCATGAAAAAACATCTTGGAATGTGACATGCAAGAATACAGTGAACTTGCTAGATAATCAACAAATGAAAGTTTCTATATTTCCTAGCTTACTTTGGATTACTTTGTTACTTTGTAATTATTTTCCTAGCAGATGGTTCATTTACGAATTTCCTTTTTCTGTCACCATGACTCTGTCTTGGATCACATGATAATATTGTCAGGTGCAAGTAATCAGGAACCACAGTTGTTTAAGGGAATGCAAGTTTATTCCATGCTATTCCTAAATAAGAATCTGAAATACTAGCAGTCAAGGAAAATTGTGGGTAGGTAAGAGTCAGTGGAGTTCAAGAGGGGCTGGTCTTGGATCACTTGTGGGTGCAAAGGTACTCCAAACGGATGGTGCACTTGGGTTCAGCCTGGTCATATCCTACGTTGATTCTGCAAAATAATAATTATTAGCTTAATAAACCCTTATTCTGAGTAACTGGGTAGGATTTATGTATAACTTACAATGTTAAACTAAGTTCATTGGGACTAAATTTGATTTAAAAACCTCAGCTATACTGAACTTTCAAATGAATATATTTAGGATCTCTGGTTAGATAATTCTTAAATAATTGTAGTAACATAAGAATAACTATTTCCATGTAGTTTTTGCTAATGGTTGTATTCATAATAAAACCCCAAAAAATTAACTGCTGCTTCAGTTTCTTAAGAACTATGAATTATGGTCTTATGCTGAGGTTAAACATGTCTATCTGGATTTTTTTTCCCATTAGAGGCAATATTATTTCTCTCAAATGAAAAACCATAAAATAAAGCAGGGATTGTAAAACTATGGGTCAGTCGAGGGCGATCACAAAACCATAATTAGTCTACAATGGAAGTGATGGGCTGCATGGGTTATAGGGCCAATAGAATAGAAGAAAATGTGTAGCAGAGCTGGCTCCAAGACCAGAAGGGCTCAGGAACAGGGTCAAGGCATCTGTGGGCAGAAGGTATCAGGAGAGGAACACCTTGTGACTGGTCTTGCAGAAGAGAGATCTGGAGTTAGTGAACATCTCACTAGGTTATGGCTTCCACTTTTCCTCTGAGAGCAATTTGGATCTGTTGTCCTCTTCTATCTAAATCCTTAATGTTTGCTGATATGTAATAAATAAATGCCAAACCATATTTTGCTAGCTGAAGTCAGTAATGTATATGCTTGTTTTGATCTGAATGTAGCAATTGATTAGGAACGTGCTGGATGGAAACTAAACTCGAAATTACCCATATTAATTTCCTATCATCGTTCATAACATCGAATACTCTTGCCTAGCCTTTTTTAAATAATAGCATCAATGTTTTTAATAGCATTGTGTTTTGATATTGTTATTTTATGATTTTATTTTATGCCATCAATAGTTATGTACTATGAAATGGGTGATTAAATATGATTTATAAATGGGTGATAAATATGATTTATAAATAAAATTAATTTTCCAACAAGATAGATATTATGTATCTATCATCTGTCTTATAAACTATGCACAAGTAATCTTTATTTTTCCAGTTTTATGTCTTCTTTTGAGTAAGTTTTTATTCTCCTTGAGTGTTGAGCTCATTAGAAAGATTCTGGAATAAATCCACAATTTTCTGCCTTAAATGTATTTATTTCACTTTTATCTTCCCTTTAAGACATTTAGAGTACGATTTAGGATTCCTGACCATAAATTACACCAAATAAATTGCACCAAATTAGAGTGAATTGCTATGCCAACTCAGTGAAATTCATGTCTGGAGATGGATTTGAATTGACCTTTTCACATTTAAGTGCAACATTGTAGAAAAATACGCTGTTCATTGAAGACTTTAATGTATGCATAAATTTTCTAAACTGGAAAAAATCCATTTGGATACTATCCAAATTGTTTTCACCTTTTGTTACTGAAAGCCTGACACTATTTATTTTATTTATTATGATGTCTGTGGTGACAGATGCTTTTTGAAAATTATCTGATTGTGCACAAGAAACGATCAGATTATTGTAGAATGAAAAAAGGTTACAACTTTGCTTGCAAAATGAAAATTATTTATTAGGTCTTTTGTCATATTTGCTTTTGAAGATAGCAATAGCACTTAGCCTTATATACCACTTCACAGTGCTTTACAGCCCTCTCTAAGGTTTACAGAGTCAGCATATTGTCCCCAACAATCTGGGTCCTCATTTTACCAACCTTGGAAAGATGGAAGGCTGAGTCAACCTTGAGCCATTCAGAATCAAACTCCTTGAGTGAGTAGTAAGTTAACTTGCAGTATTGCATTCTAACCACTGCACCACGACGATCCTGATCAGATCAAGATTCCAGTCAGAATTTCTGGAAAGTCCCCTGTTTAATTAAGTAGTAACCTTAGGGGAAACCCATTCTGGGTGGAAATTTTTAACAACCGTGAATATTTATGTACAGCTTCTTTTCCTTCAGATTTTATGTGTTTACTGTCTTTGAAAATGAAACATACTTTTATTTTCCAGAAGTCAGTAGTAGTAAATTTTGTAGTAAATCTACAAAAAGCTTTCATCTTATGTGAGCGCTAGCGTTATGTAGTGATCAATGTGGACCAGCACTGAAGAAATTTTAATTCAGGTTCACTCTGAGCGATAGAAGCTCATGAGTGACTCTCAGTCTCTCAGATCAAACTATCTTGCAGGGTTGTGGTTGTGAAGAAAAAGTTGTAGAAAGAGTATAATTAAGGTCCTGAAGAAAAGCCAAAACATACACCTAATAAATAGATAAAACAAATTCTTTATGTGATATTTTCAGTGTTATTGCCAGCAAAATTGGTGACATTAAATCTTAAAAGCTGTGATAATATAATGCATTATTTAAATTGTTTTTTCATTCATTTGATTATAATTTCTTAGGTATTACTGTCTTGCAGCTGTTGCTGCCTTGCTGAAATACGTTGAATTCATTCAAAATTCAGTTTATGCGCCTAAGTCACTTAAGATTCGTTTCCATGGAAGTGAGCAAACAGCAATGATTGACTCAACATCAGCCCTAAATCTTGAATTAATTACTAACAATAGAGATCCTAGGTAAGATATTTTTGTTTCAAATTCTAAACTATGGAGAAGATATGACAGTTATATTTACAATTATGATATAGTGTTGGATGCAAGTCTGTGCTTTAAAGTTAATGAACGTACATTTTCAGTCATTAAAATGTTTAAAGGAAGATGATAGAACACAAAAAAGATAAAGGTTTCCCTATCTAGTCATGTCCACTTCTAGGGCGCAGTGTTCATCTCCATTTCTTGGCCATAGGAGCCAGCATTGTCTGAAGACAATTTCCATGGTCATGTCACCAGCATGACTATATGGCAAAGGCATACAGAATGCTGTTACTTTCCCACTGAAGTGGTATCTATTAATCTACTTCAATTTGCATGTTTTTGAAATGCTAGGTGGGCAGGAGGTGAGGCAAGTAATGGGAGCTCACTCGTTGCATGGAACTCAGGTCCAAAACATAAGGATTCATTTATTAGAGAAATCTTGTAGCATGTATCTGTGTATAAGGTCTCCAACTATTTTCCTCAGTTCTGAAGATCAAGACATGGCTCTATGCCAGGGGTGGGCAATTATGTCCTCTTTATTACCTGTGGACTTCAACTCCCAGAATTCCTGAGTCAGCATGGCTGGCTCAGAAATTCTGGGAATTGAAGTCCACAGGCTGTAAAGGGGCCATAGTTGCCCACTCCTGCTCTATGCTGAAACATCTTTGAATCCAAAGAATGAAAACATACACACATTCAGAAATGATGCTTAAGGAATCAGTTAAGGTAGGTAACTGGGTTTTCATCACGGTTTGTGTGATTCACACACACAGATGAACAGAAGGCTAACTCATCAGAAGCTCGATAGGCATTTCAGTAGTGGCAAAACCTTGGCTTGTCATTGCGTGTTCGTAGAGTTGAGAGAAAGTGACTGGCCCAAAATCACCTATTGACTTTGTGACTTAGATAGGACTAGAACCCAGGTTCAGACTAAACTGGAACTGGTTTGTTCATTGTGCCTTTCTAAGAGAGAATGACTGGTCCAAGGTCATACAGCTGTTTTTAGTGGTGCCAAAGGCAACATTAGAAGTCATGCTCTCTTGGTATTCTGCTTCCCATCCCTCACAAAAAATCCAATATGGTAAATGAATAATATACAAGAGAAAAAGAAGAGCCTTAAAACAAAGGGGGGGGGGGACGACACACGGATGGACTGTTCCACATACAGCCTAGCTGCTGCATTTTACCACCATCTGCACCCTTCTGAATCAACTCCAATAGCAGCCCCAAGTAGATCTTACTGCAGTAATCCAACTGCGTGATGATGAGGGCATCCTAATTTTCAGCTAGTTCACTAATTTGTCAACTGAGTTATTGCTGAAATCAAACTGTTTCAGAGGCCATTCAGTTAGCTCAGAGCTACATCTGCAGTTTTCTTTCTGGTATCTACCAGGCTCCCATGTATTTAGAACCTCCCACATTTATCCAATAATATCCTTCTATTCATATCTGTTTGTGGGAAACACAGACAATAAAAAAAAAACAGGTTGCCTTCCTGTAACTGATTCTTTAACCATCATTTGTGAATTTGTTAATGTTAGATGTTTTCCTGTTTTGGGGTCACAGATGACATACTTCAACTTAAGGCTATCCTCTTCATCTTCAGAACTGAGGAAAATAGTAGGAGCTCTGCTTCACATACATATGATATTTCCTATAAGAAGCTCCTGATATAAATCCCAGGCTCCAGATTGCTGCATCTTTGCTACTGTACTAAGTAAGAATGCATTTGTTTGGATTCATAAATGACTACCTGAGTCACATTTATATAAGCAACCAATTATTTAAGGGTTTTTTTAAGTGCAATTTTTATTAAAGGTTTTAAAAGCAATTAGTTCTTATTATTGCCTTTAATACCAATTGTGTAGTTTTAGTGATACATATAAAAGAAGGGAAATTGGTTTAATATAATTGATCTTTCCCCACACTATCCCTGCATTTGGTTGATTTTATTCAACACATTTCATTAAATAGCCTGCATTGGATCTTGGCTGCAGAATTCATCAAGATTTTAGGAACTGTTATCTTACTCATAAAACCTTAGTCAGGTCTGAACCATCAGGATCAACCATTTGTGATTAGAACTAGACTTCCTAGGGTCTAATTATAATCAGCAATTGACCAGAGACAGTTTTATTCTAGTATCATTGCTATTTGTTTTTTCAAGAAAGTGGTTGGATGATTCTTGGTTTTCTTTTCCTCTGCTTAGTCAGTCTATAATAGCTATCTAAATTTAAACATTTAAGTAGCTATTTAAACTGTTTAGCTGTTTTAATTATTCATCTGAGTACAATTCAGGACATCCAGCTTTTCGTAAATGGGGAAGGAATTGTTTATTCAGCTCAATAAATTGTTTATTGAGTTGGGGTTTCTGCATCTTCATCCTCCTCGTTACCTGAAAATGAGAAGAAACTATCTCAGTTGAGCCCATTGAAAGCCTCTTAATAATCAAGGGTAGAGACTTTCTTACCAGCAAATGGTTCCTTTCCTCTCACATTAAACAACAATTCAATAAGCAACAATAACTTGGTACCAATAAAAGAAAATAGCTCAGGTTGAAATGAGAGGTCCTTGATGCTTTCTGAGCTTGGTTGTTTTCTTGCAGACATTTCATTACCCAAACTAGATAATCACTAGCATTGTAAGTGATCACAAGCACTGATATTACCTATTTTGGGTAATAAATCATCTCCAAGAAAACAATCAGGCTTAGAGAGCACCAAGGACTTTTCACAGTAATTTGGGTCAGAAGAATTGGAAGGTTATATATTTCTCCCACTCTCACAATACTATACTCCTACAACACAATTTGGCTTTTCTACACCACCATCTGAATACCTATGCCAATGTCTATATTTAAACCAGCCAAAGTAACATTGTTAATATAGTGACAGACTAGTTCCCTTTTTTTAAAACAAAGTATGCAACGGCTTTGATCTTTCAGGAATTATCTGCCATTAAGGATAGATAAGTTGAGATACAATCTTCTATTAACAGCTTTGCAAAAATAGTTGACAGGGTTATTTCTGCTAGTGATGGAATGAGTTCTATGTTGTTAAATATTAAATGTACAGATTTCCAGATATAAACTTGCTTCTTTATAGTCAGAAAGTTTTGTGCTTTCATTAAGTATTGTGGTATGTTGAAAGCATGAATACTCTACTATAAAGAGAGGTGAACTTCAAGAAAAGCAACTAGCTACAATATACTTAGTTGCAATATTGTCACCTGTCTTAAGGTGATTTTGATAGTGGAAAAATAGCTCTTAAGTGTTCCAGTATTGTTCTTAATTTAGGGGCAGGATAACTCTATCTTTATTTATCTTGCTTCCTAAGGGATTGAAAATCTTGCCTAGAGGATACAGGTAGTGCTTGACTTATGACCACAATTGTTGCTAAGTAAGACAGTTGTTAAGTAAAGTTTGCCCCATTTTATGACCTTTTTGCCATAGTTGTTAAGTTATTAACACAATTGTTAATTAAATCTGGTTTCTGCATTCACTTTGCTTGTCAGAAGATCACAAAAGGTGATTACATAACCTCAGGACACTTCAACTATCGTAAATATGAGTCACTTTACAAGCATCTGAATTTTGATCACATGACCATGGCGATACTGCAATGGACATAAGTGAATGCAATGTGAAAAATGGTCATAAGTCACTCTTTTCAGTTGTAACTTCAAATGGTCACTAAATGAACTGTTTAAGTCGAGGATTACCTGTACCATTAGTAATTTGCCCTTTAGGAAGTCTAATCTGCAATAATCTGCCTTCTGGATGGGAACTATGTTTCTCTCTGAATTTATTACCTTCACCTAAGAACTCTTTTGCCACTAAGTGGGAGCTGCCAGTTTCTCATCCTTAGAAATTTCTATGGTGTAAATGAATGGTGACCTACACATATCTCACACACACTACATTCTGTGGGCAATTGGCCATGCTACTTTTTTTATACATCTGTATTATATTCTCTTTTGTTTGTTTCTTTTAAGTACAATGTGTGCAGAAATCAATCTGGTTAATATTTTCTTTACTAAAACACCAAATGTTTATGTACAGTTACGGCCTCGCTTAAAACTTAAGTTATAACCATATAGAAATAAATGATGGAGGAGAGGCTAGGACTCAGGAGGAAAGTAAAGAACAAGGAAGCTTGCTGAATCAGGAAAACTGGAAATAGACATTCTATCACTCATTACCAATCTACTCAAAGATGGAGTTTGGTAGAACAGCAAAGAGATTGGTAGGAGAAGATTGGAGACACCAGGGAGTGAAGTGGCTAGATCTTCCTTCACAAAATCTTTCTTTTGAAAATGCTTAGAATGGAACAACATCTCTGCTTAACAAACTGTCCTGCTAATTGATTCTTTTGTCCGTAGATAGCCAAGAATTGATGCCCTTAATTTCTAATTTTAAAGTTGTCAAGACCTATAAATAATTATGGTTTTCACACAGCAGATGTTTGGACAAACTATGTGTCGGTGGTTTTTTTCCCCATATGACTCTTTGTCACTAGTTAGCAAGAGGGATCAGAGATTTGAGGCTTAGGTTGTATTAGTTATCTGTAAGATCTCATAAGGGAGGTAAGAAGGAGAAGGAAGAGGGAGTTGAAACTTTACAAGAAGGGAAGAGGTTTCAGATATGAAGCAAAGGTTCAAGCTTTGGCTATGCTTTTTAAACATGGTTTTTGTGCTTTTTAACATAGAATTTCTTACAAAAGCCTATTTCTTGACCTATCAAGAGATTGGTTCAGAATGTTGCTAACATTTAGCACAGAACTATCTCTTTACATTTTTTTAAATGAGAAAGCTCTTAGCTGTTTTTCAGCTTTATATTTTCTTGTTTTTATGATAGTGATGTAAGACCCTTATAACTGATTAGGATTATAAGTTTTGCCTTACAAAACAGACTCTGCTACAAGCATTGTATCTAATAAAGAGATCTTGAGAAGCAGGAGTAGAAAGTGTAAGACAAATTTAAATATTATAATACAAATGATTAAATCTTGATGAGTAACTTTAATGGTATTTCCTGGGAACTGCTTACTCTCACTCTTTTCCTGGGATTCTAAGGATCCGTCTTTATAGGTAATAAAGTTTATTTTAAAAGGCCACTAAATTTGATCCCATACTCTAAATGTACTATGTAGTCCTCACCAGGGTGCTGCTACCAAGGTTCTTGTTCTAGTATTTACTAGATTTTTATGAAATATCACCTCTCTCAATTATCAACTCAATTTGACAGTAATGATCTCTTGCTCATTATGAAATGCAATCCTAGGCTGCATTAATAAAGAGATAGAATCAAGATCACGTGAAGTTTAAGTACCCCTTTACAAAGCCTTAATATGGCCATACTTGGAATACTTGGCATCCAGTTTTGGTTACCACAATACAAAAAAGGTGTTCAGACTCTGGAAAAAGTGCAGGGAAGAGCAACAAAATGATTAGGGGGTGGAGGCTAAAACATACGAATAATTGGGTATGTCTAGTCTGATGAAAAGGAGGACTTGGAGAACATGATAGCACTGTTTCAATATTTGAGGGGCTCCTAGAAAGACGAGGAGGTCAAACTATTTTCCAAAGAACCAAAAGGCAAGACAAGAAACAATGATTGAAAACTAAGGAGAGAAGCAACCTAGAACTAAGGAGAAATTTGCTAACGGTGTGGGCAATTAACCAGTGGAATAGCTTGCCTTTAGAAGTTGTGGGTGCTCCATCACTGAAGGCTTTCAAAAAAAAACCAAAAAAAAGACTGGAGAACCATTAGTCTGAAATTATATAGGGTCTCCTGCTTGAGCAGGGGGTTGGATTAGAAGATTTCTGACCCATCCAACTCTGTTACTCTATGTTCTAAATCAGTCAAAAATGCTCAAATTGAGTCTCACCACCTGATTACTCCTGAGATGTAGGCCAAATGTTTCCTGTTCAGCAATGCGCCAAAGACTATGCCATTTTGGGGTCCTTTTCCTGGTGCCGTAGCAAAACGATCCCTCATGTTTTTGCTGGAGCCTTCTAAATTTGTTTTACAACTTTAAGATGGCAATGCAGTCAGAGATAATCTGATACAGACAGAATTTCTAAAGGCAAAGTTGGATTGGTCAGCTTTAGTCCTGGCATCCTGGTCACAAGTTTGGGTTCTTTCTTTGTGATTCCCACAGATTGACGAAGGTTCATCATAATGCAAGCGTACCAAAAAATGGGATATGAAAGAACCCAACCAATTTCTAACATGTAGATTGTATAATATAGAGGAGGAGAATTGATCCAGTTTCAGGAAAGGGAAATGGCTTACTCTTCATATTACAGAAAAATACATTACTCAGTGAGTTTTGTTTATGTTGTCTTTATTGACTTGGCCTTTGTTGGCCTTTGACCAGATCCCTTCAACTTTAGGAGAATTTAACTGCTATGGCCCTTCAGAGAAGCCTTGATGTTGACACAGTGATGATTGTGTGATTGTATTAAATAAAAAGACTTACTACTCCTGCTTATCTTGTTCTCACTATAGGCACAAATTTTAAATTTGTGCATTAATTTGTCGCATTGATGTCAATTTATTGCTGACATAAATTCTTGTGAAGGCAGTCCTTATTTTGCTTGACAGAGCATACATGTTTTGTGTACTTTCAGTTCTTAGTAAGATCACTATGAATAAATGTTTAACATTTTGTCTTATGTGTTGTAATCACAGCATTAATTTGACAGATTGAGTAAATTATTTCCCTTTCACCAAGAAACATTTATTTTCTAAAGAAGCTTTTTGATCTGTCTAGTCAGACATTAACAGTCAAAATATACACTTGGATCATTAATGCATATTTGTATGCATTAATTTATTCACTCAATTTGGCTGCCACCAGTCTCAAACCTGCATTAATGTATTGCATAATTATTGTCAGAAATTTCTATCTTCCTATATGCAAAGTTTTGGATCAGCTCCCTATAAGTTACTTGCATAAGCTTTTCCTGCCCCACAAATAGGCTGTTGTTATTCTGGATATGCTGTGATATAAAACTCAATTTGCTGTAGGCGCAATACTTTATTTCTTTAAAGCACAAACTACTTTCTCTCCTAAACTCACCTATCTGGGGACTAGAAGAGAAAATGTTGGAAGATATTTCAACTTTAATTAGCACTGTTTTTTTAAGCTAGAAGTGAAATAAAAAGGCAAGATACATATTTTCCAATTATAAATGCACTTCCTAGAAAGTAGACATTTAACATAATTAGATCTACTTTAGAGTAAACATGTAGCATTTTATGGTTTGTTTGTTTCAGCAATGCAGTTCTTCTGTCTTAATCATAATAAAGCCCTATCAATGTTTCTTTCCCATGTTATTAAAAAAAAAGAATTTTCTAAATTGGTTTACGTTGTGTACTATTTTTCTATGAAACTGATAGAATATTTTTTCCCTCCAGTACTAATGTCGTTAACTGTTCTGGTTGGAGTAGAGTAGATGTAAAATACAGCATAGATTTAAAAAGAATACAGGTAGTCCTTGATTTCCCACAATTCATTTAGTGACCATTCAAAGTTAGCTGGACAACCAGCTAAATATGAGCCAGCAGTGTGCAGCAGCAGTCAAAAAAGCTAATGCAATCCCAAGTTGCATCAACAGAAGGATACAATCAAGTTCAAGTGAGGTACTAATACCACTCTATAAAGCCTTAGTAAGACCACATCTAGAGTACTGCATTCAGTTTTGTTCACCACATTATAAAAAAGATGTTGAGACTCTAGAAAGACTACAGAGAAGAGCAACCAGGATGATTGGGGGACTGGAGGCTAAAGCATACAACGAGCGGTTGCAGGAACTGGGCTTGGCTAGTCTAGTAAAGAGAAGGACCAGGGGAGACATGATAGCGGTTTTCCAATATTTGAGGGGCTGCCATAGGGAGGAAGGGGTCAAGCTATTTTGTAAAGCGCATGTAGGCCAGACAAGGAATAATGGATGGAAACTGAACAAGGAGAGATTTAACCTGGAAATAAGGAGAAACTTTCTGACAGTGAGAACAATCAACCAATGGAACAGCTTGCCCTCAGAAGTTGTGGGAGCGCCATCACTTGAGACCTTCAAGAAGAGATTGGACTGCCGTTTGTCAGAAATGGTGTAGGGTCTCCCGCTTGGGCAGGGGGTTGGACTAGATGACCTACAAGGTCCCTTCCAACTCTGATTATCTGTTATCTGTAAGTTACAATGGCACTGAAAAAAATGATTTATGATTGTTTTTCACATTTATGATGGTTGCAGCATCTTCATGGTCAGGTGATCAAAATTCGGCCACTTAGCAACTGACTCATATTTATGGCAGTTGCAGTGTCCCAGAGTCATGTGATCTCCTTTTGAGACCTTCTGACAAGCAAAGCCAAAGGGGAAGCCAGATTTATTTACCAATTTAATTACTAACTTAACAACTGCAGTGATTCACTCCACATGTGTGACAAGAAAGGTCATAAAATGGGACAAAACTCACCAACAAACGTCTCACTTAGAAACAGAAATTTTGGGCTCAGTTGTGGTTATAAGTCGATGATTACCTTTACTCGGCATAGGCAAGAGACAACAAGCGGACAGCATTGTCAAAGTAGTTCAAGTACAAATGTAAGGCTATAACAAAATGTAGGTTACAGAGTTATTTGCTGGTTGGAAGCCTGAATCAAATGAGCTGCAGTATGATCAAGGGCCATAGGATCTGATACAACAATTCTGCCATTGTTCGTGTTTCAGCTTTTTGCATCTGGATATTGAATATGTAGCATAGTCTTCATTTAAGGAGGACTTCTTAGCCAGAGCTATAACATCAGATCTAAAAACAAAGAGACTCAAATGAAAGTAAAGTAACCATTAAATCTATCTCTAGTCAGCAGGAAGAAATAACAAAACATTATTAGATTTTACATCATTAGGGGAAAATAAAATATTTTTAAAAAATAATTGACATGATTGGACAGTAGATAATATTTTCCAAATTCACCATAACTAATGAATACATAATGGAATGGGTATTCTAGAGAAAGATCTAGTGTTAAAGCAATTTAAGTGATATGATTTTTTTATAGCCAATTAAACAGAACATTGCGTTGAGTTTATGCAACTTTGGTAGGGGTGGGTCCACCCCGTGTTCTCTGCCTTTTGAAAAGGCTTTGTGGTTTGTGCACATATTGTGTTGCCTGTTTTGAAAGCCGAACTATTAGTATATAAATGTACACTTACATTTGCATTAACTTTATTTAATGACATTTTTCAAATTTGTATTGTTTTCAAAGGAAAGGCCATAGTCTTTTTGGCATTCTAAATTATACTAAGACACCGGGGGGAAGTCGAAGACTTCGGTCTAATATTCTGGAACCTCTGATTGATGCTGATAGTATCAACACAAGATTGGATTCTGTTCAAGAGCTCCTTCAGGATGAGGAATGCTTTTTTCGTCTTCAGTCAGGTAAACAAATTCTGCTTTGCAAAAGGAATAAAATAGTTTATAGTTAGATTGGTGCAGCCTACAGGGAGTCATTGGCTTACAACAGTTCATTTAGTGACTGTTCAAAATTACAGCAGCACTGAAAAAAATGACGTTTGATCGTTTTTCACACTTATGATCATTGCAGCATTCCTCTAGTCACGTGATCAAAATTCAGGCACTCAGCAACTGACTCACATTTATGACCGTTGCAGTGTCCCAGGGTCATGTGATCATCCTTGATGGTCTTCTGACATGCGAAGTCATTGGGGAAACAAGATTCACTTAACAACTGCATTACTAACTTAACAGCTGCAGTGATTCATTTAACAATCGTGGAAAGAAAGATCATAAAATGGGGCAAAATTAATTGAACAAATATCTCACTTAATAACAGAAATTTTGGGCTCAATTGTGGTCGTAAATCAAGGACTACCTGTATCGTACTTTAATTTTCAAATCTTCTGAATGTATTAGTTTATATCATTAGTAAGTTAGCATTGTAAATAAATTACCCAAATGTAATAAGTTAGCAAGTTAAATATAGGACAGGGATTTTTAAAAATTATTTTACCTATGTTTAATTATAGCTTCAAGAACAGCCAAACAAAGAAATACAAGAGGCTCAGTAAATAAAAGGATAAAATTATGAAAAAATCCAGAGACAATAATGAAAAGGAGGTATCAGAGAATTTCAGAAAGGATTTTACAGCCTTCTTGTACAATTGATCATGTAAAAGAAAAGTGATTACTGTATAATCACAGGAGCAATGAAAATTTTCAATTGCCATTGGGTATATAACGAACATTTTAATAGCATATGTGATATAGATTCAACTTCTCTATCTGAGCACAAGCAAGTGCAGGAATTTAATCTATCTGACTAATTGTCATCCTAATTTGATAGTATACCTGTTCATGTCAAAGTAAAATATCTCCAATGGGAGCATTAAATATTTAGACCAAGGAACAAGGGAGCGATTGCACTGTAGAAAAATATGGAAAATACTAGCTCTATCAGTCTGAATATCTAAATCCCAAATTCTCTGCTTCAGTTCAGCCAGAGTTTAATCAAAGCAGAGAGTGCTGACAAGTAAGGGCTGCAGTACACCAAATCATTGTTAATTTGTCTCCTTAGGGTAGATCTAAACCTAACTGGTAATGTGAGATTCGCTCAAAGACTTCCATGAGCCAGAATTTATGCCAGCCAAATTGGACCATTATGTGCACGATCAAAAGGAATTATTTATATCTGTAAAAAAGGGGGGATAGCACAGTGGCCCACATACAGAATTTTATTTTATTTTTTTTGACAAAATTAAATGTTTACCAAGGCTTTTGCAGTTCATCAATTGAGAAATTCATTTTTTAACTTCAGAAGGTAAAACCTGGAGGTCATTCAGAGAGAGATTCATCAAGAAGCTGGACATGGGCTTTGTTGCCTTGGGACATAGTAAATTACCAAGAAAGTATGTAGTCCAAGTCTCTGGAGATTTGGTATTATTTTCAGAGTTAATTCTGGCTGGAAGTTGAGAAACAAGACTCCAAAACAGAGAATATTTTTTATTGATGACAGTCCACTGGATACTTTAGATTTTTCAAATTTGTGGGGTTTTTTCCCCCTTTAAAATCTTCTTATAGTCCTTCTTTAAAGACTAAAATGTTTCATGTTAGGGAGAATCATTATCTATATAGGCATTTTTTAAAGCTAGAATTACATTTTGAGTCAAGATTGGATCAGTTGTTAAACTGATGTGAAGAAGATTGCTGGGCAGGCTAAGTATACTTTTGGACAAGGGTAATGACTCTTTGATAAGTAGAGATTATTTCATGGGGGTTGACTGACTGCATATGGATTGTTCTAGGAGAGTAGTTAATGGGGCAGCAAAAAAACAGAAAAAGTGCCATGGACAGTTTACTAATCCAAATCAGTCTGTTTCCTGTCTGAAGGGATGAATCATTGAATGGTCTTGAGTAGCTAGGTTCAATTAAATGAAAAGCAAAGACACCCGTGTGAATGATATGTGATCATTCTCGGGACAAAGAGTGTAAAGTTGTTGGAAAATATTTACAGGAAAGGGCGAAGATGTTTGTAATTATTATTGTCAGACCTCCAGAACACAGCAATAGCACCAAAACAATCATCTCACAATGGTATCTATGTCCATTGTCTTGTTTGCCATTATTTCCTAACCCCACATCACGTTTATAAGATATTGTTATTTCATGGTGTAATTGGAGAAAGGAAAAAGGAAATGGAGGCAAATATTTTTACATTCCAGCAAATATGATTTCCACATGTACAGGAAACAGGTTCCATCTCAGTATTGATTATGTTATCACAAATCTAATTTCTGCTCTTTTAATAAAAAACATGAAACTTAAAATACACGTATCTTCAAAACATTTTGAACTTGAATAATTATGTACATGTGTATAAATAAACCCTAGAATTTAAGTTTAACTGGTTTGTGGATCAAACTAAAAGTTCTGTTTGATTTTTTCCCCCAGTTATAGGAAGATTTTTGGACACTGAACAATTACTTTCAGTTTTAGTACAAATTCCAAAGCAGGATACGGTATGTTTATAAATATTTTTATGGAATACATTATAAATATCTATTCATTATCTGTCTCTATTGCTTATCTGTCTTAGAGAATTCTGTTCTCATAGTAAATACAAATCTTTTCTAAAAAGATTTTCAGATATGAATACACAGACATACATATATTGAGATATGGTATTTTTATCCTTTGCATTATGCTAGAAGTGTTGGATTCTCTATAATTTATTTATAAAAAAATTTAGCTTGGCAGTTATGATATTGCTATCTTCTAATATGCACAATAGAATTTAGTTATTTCATCTTCACTAAAGTAAATATATAATTTAGTTTTAATTACACAAAATTAAACTCTTAAGATTTTTTGTTTGTTTTTTTATCAATAATCAAATGGCTAATTATTTAGTATTATATTGGATGACTGTAAAATTATCTATAATTAGTAGGAAATGAAATGAAAGTCTTTATTTAAAGACTCTACAAATCAGAAGAAATAGTTGTTGCTCAACTTGGAAACCATATCTCTCTTTTTTCCTTCCCCTTATTTCCTTCCCATTTTTCTTCAAAACTTGACAGTATGAGATTACCCAATGTTAATACTAGAGGGATGCACTGTAGTGTAACACTGCCAAACTAAACACCCTAAGAACGAACAATTTATAGGAGAAAGGAAATACCTTTTAACATTTTTTTCTAACATACATCTGGTTATTTTGCTTACAAGGAAAATAGTAATGACAGTTAAACACAAATAATTATGATAATAAACAGTATCTAGGCTGTTTTCTACTATACCAACAATAATGTGATGTATTTTTAAAATAGGTTAATGCATCTGAATCAAAGATAACCAATTTAATTTATCTGAAGCATACTTTGGAACTTGTGGAGCCTTTCAAGGTATTATATCCTAAAATATTATGTAAATGCCAATTATGGTTATAATTTTATTAATTCTTAAATCAAGGAATAAACACTATTAAATCAGAACTTTATACTCTATCATGTTACTACACCAGTGGGAGGAATTGCTTTTCTTCTATTTAAAATATTACTATCATGCCACCCAGAATGTGATACAGCTAAGCTAAACAGAAGATAATGGAGACACTAGGATATCACCTGATCCTTAAATATAACAAATATCTGTGTACCTAAATATACCCCAGTACATAGTCACACACTGAACTCTCAGATTGTCCAATCCCTGTATATTTATCTGCTGGACTGTGTATTCATTGCTTGAAGCTATCTAATAATCATGGGTTTATATATGTGTGCTCAAGAAAGCAGATTAAAAATAGGTGGAAGGAAATTCAGAGGGAGCATGTTTAATTTTTGACCAAAGCATACCCAGGAACTTACAGGTGGTCCTCGGTTTATGACCACAATGGAGTCCAAAATTTATGTTGTTAAGTGAGGTGAGTTTTGTTACTTGAGTTTTGTCCCATTTTATGACCTTTCTTGCCACACATGTGGAGTGAATCACTGCAGTTGTTAAGTTAGTAATTCAGTCGGTAAATAAATCTGGCTTCCCTTTTGGCTTTGCTTGTCAGAAGGTCTCAAAAGGAGATCACATGACCCTGGGACACTGCAACTGCCATAAATATGAGTCAGTTGCTAAGTGGCTGAATTTTGATCACATGACCATGAAGATGCTGCAATGGTCATGAGTGTGAAAAATGGTGATAAGTCACTTTTTTCAGTGCTGTTGTAACTTTGAATGGTCACTAAATGAACTGTTGTAAGTCAAGGACTACCTGTACTTCCTTGTAGTGAAAATGGTAGAGCATAACTGCCTCTCCATAACCTGAGTATCATTTCCAGGCTGTCAAACTGAACTCTATTAGATAGCAAGAATAATCTGTTTTCCTCAAAATGATCATATGGAAAAGGCACATAACGCTTCAAAGGCATTTTACCAATAATATTGTTCATATATTTTCCACAGAAACTGGAAGTGGACTGGCTGCATATAGAGAATCTTTGATAGAGATTCTTTATAACTTTTAGAACCAATCTGTTATATAACCTTTATGCTTGATTCTTGTCGTTTATGCTTACTTAAAAGTTCATACTTGGTGGAATTATTATCTGGTAAATAATTAATACCCCTTCAAGGAAAAGAATAGTCTCTTTATAACTGCTGTAATCCTGATCACTCTTGTGGAATATATTTGCCAGAAGAACATCAGATGTGGGATCTTTTGAATATATTTTTAGTTGCTCATGCAAAAATATAAGCTTAGCCAATCACCCATGTCCTAATAACATACAGATAGAGCTACTGCAATTGTTTGATAGTTTACTCCTATGAAAATTCATAGAATTTTAACCTTTAAATAGGTTTGGATCCACTATCCACTATCATTGTGTGCACATACCTATCAGGCAATTAATAGATCTATTAAACTATGATATAAATCAAAACTATCTTTTAGAGTACCTGCTTGGAGGGCTTTCATGTCCTGAAATAAACTGGATAGTAACAATTATTAATACTTATGAGTCAGGATATCTTGTCGTGGCATTCACTTCTTTCTGCCTGTTTACCAGAAATCAGTGTTATTTTTCTGAGTTTATCATGAAAGCTTTTTAATATAATTTCATTAAGGTAAACTAATTAACAAACAGACAGTATGACTGACACAACAGTCATGCAAACAACAGGAATAATCTAACTTTGTAGCTAATAATGTGATTTACAAAGAAAAAAGAGGGAGAGTCCTGGAAAATTTAAAGAAAATTTAAAAAATTGACATATTACTTAGAAGCCTTCTTTCTTTTATCAAAAAAAAAAAAAAACCTGCTTTTCTAAATGAAAATTGACAAAAGATAAATATCAGTTATTTTCTGCAAATCAGGTGCAGATTTTGCCTTTGACAGTTGTATGATGATTTTTTTGTCAGCTCCTGAGCCCCTGTTTTGATAAATTCTAAATACTAATACAGTTAGTGGTATATTTTATGACATAGCTAAAAATCTATGCATATTTAATATGATTCAGTGTGGTGGGATTCAATTTTTTTTTACTATTGGTTCTGTGGGCGTGGCTTGGTGAGCATGGCATGGGAAGGATACTGTAAAAGCTCTAGTCAGAGGTGGTATTTGCCAGTTCTCCAAACTACTCAAAATTTCTGCTACCGGTTCTCCAGAACTGGTCAGAACCTGCTGAATACCACCTCTGATTCAGAGTTATTTTACTAATTCAATTGATACCTACCTCATAAAAAATACTACTAGGACAAATAAAAACCATATGCATTAAAGTTCTAAACCTGAGTTGCATATTTAATTACAGGAGGATTTTAAACAATTAAATACTGTTTTCTTCAACATATTATTAATTTAATTTTCTTCAATTTATATTTTATTATATTGATACAGATAATATTTTTAGTAATGGTTTGGTTTAGGTAATCATTTTTGTGGTTAAATTTGCATGAATCAATTTTTTAAAGTGATTACTTTTTAAATTACTTGGTTGAAACTATTTAAGCCAATTCTTTTGTGCATATATTTATTATACTGTAATTTTTATTTACTTATATTTTAAATAATTTTTAAAAATAAAGTTATATTTCTTTCCATCCAAACCTTAGTGAAATAAGATAGTAATACATTAACATTCCTCTACTCTTGTTTATAAATATTTTAATTTTATTTAAACAGGAAGCCTTAAAAAGCTATAAGACGCCATTGTTAAAAGCTTATTATAGTTCTTTGGAAGATAGCAGGTACTATATTATAAATACAGTTTTATATCTAACATTTTACACCAGACAATAAAAATTAAAGTTACTATTCATTGTAATTGTTGGTATTACTCATGTCAAGAATGTAGTAGTATTTAGATTTAAGTGTCATTATTAACTTGTTTTAAACATATCTATCATAATGAAACTGTAAGTAACTAAAGAATCCTGACAGAAATAGTATCATTTGAAGATAAATAGTTTTATAAATAATAATGAAAAATAAATATTGCATAAGGCAATTTAACATATATGAACATAGTGAGATTATAAAAATATCAGAGTTGGGATAAATTTTGATAGTTAATACATTGAAAATATAACGTCAATTATGTATAATTTCTCTAGGTTTGGAATCATTCTTGAAAAGATTAAAACTGTTATTAATGATGATACAAGATACACAAAAGGATGTTTGAATATGAGAACTCAAAAATGCTATGCGGTGAAACCTAATATTAATGAATTTCTTGATATAGCACGAAGAACGTACACTGAAATTGTGGATGATATAGCTGGTATGGGAAGTCAATTTAGAATAATAATTTATTAGAATATATTTGTTTGTTTATTTGTTTCTTTATTATTAAATGTACTTGCCACCAACTCACCATGGGGCTGGCTTACAACAATAGAAAGTGAAATTACAAAACATGTAAATTTAACAATAAAAATAAATAGTACAGCAATATATATGCTTTAATAATTTACAATATAGTGCAGAGTATTAGTGCATACAGAAATATGTTCCTTATGAATAAATATATGAATGTATATTTAAGGAAATGTAGTCTTAAATTTTAAGTGTTCATGTCAAATAAGAAAATTATTTACAGATTGTAAAATGTTATTCACATTGGGCAACATCTCCTAGAATATTCTTCTTTCAGGACCATTTTGAAATAAATAGGAATTGTCTCATTGGTCCTATGCAACCAAAGCTTTAATAATTTCTTTATATTTATTAGCCAGCTGACAAATGAAAAAAGTGATATCAGAAAGAAGCAAGTATAGAACAGGTGATAGATATGCAATATAAGAATAGAATAGAAAGGAGAGTTACGTGTGAGATAAATTGGTTTTTTATAGATCATGACAGAGCTAGTGTATGGAATAAGAATCTCTACTTGTGGCCTTCTAGGTCATATTGTATCGGTCCTCCCTTCCTCCCTCCCTCCCTCCCTCCCTCCTCTCTGTTTCAAATTTATTTGTGGGAAAGGCCTATCATTATTCTGTCTTCTTATTGATGTATAAAAATGTCATGATTAGTTTTAGTGCCCATACAGTGATTAGTGATTACTGATTAGTTTTAGTGCCCATACAGTGTGGTTGACTGTCATAACCAAAATATATATTTATACCTTGCAATTAAGGAATGATAACACAACTTGCAGAAAAACATAACCTTCCTTTGAAAACAAGTTTTAGTTCAGCTCGAGGATTTTTTATCCAGATGAGTGCTGATTGTGCAGCAGTACACAATGGTCAACTTCCTTCAGAATTTACCAAGGTAAGCAATTTGAAAATGTTGGATCTCAAATCTATTATTTTATTTTTATTTATATGATTTTCATCCTGTATTTAGTATTTTATAAGTAACTCAAGGCAGCAGACATACATAATTCTCCTTCTTCCTCCTATTATTGCCACAATAAAAAATAAAAAAGCCTAATCTCTCTTGAAAAAAATATACAGCACATATAAGTGATTACCTATCAGCTCAAAATCAAATCCCACAACTACCACAACCACTACCTCAACTACAATCACAACTACAACCAAAAATAACCACCAAACCACAGCCACAATTACTATCCCATCAAATAATCCCATAAATAATATCTCCTTACTCATCAAAGACATCATTGAATGTGAACAGAAATGTCCAAATGCCATCTTATTTGGTCTCGAAGACGACATCACCAAAGTTCACAATATCATAAGCAACTCAAATACAACAAACAGCTCTCCTGCAGATATCATTGAAATAACCAGAGATGGCTCTGAGTACAAATACAATGACGGATCTGTGGCCCCAAGATTTTGTAGAGTTGTTTGCAAAAATGAGTCCAGCAAACGTATATTTATTCATACAATAAAAGCCATTGCAAAATCCAATCCCACCCATAAAAAACTTCACTCAAGACCAGACTTATCCATACTGCAAAGAATCCGCTCCTGTGAACTCTGCGCAGAACTCAAAAACGGTCTAGACAATGGAGAAAAGGATCTATACATTGACTACAGAGCTGATTGCATCAAAAGAAAGTCACACAACCCACAACTCCGCATCCAACCCCACCCATCCAATCCAACATCACTCAAAACTAGGCACGCATGCCCCTAACTACCTCTATTCCAACCACAACTGACCTTAAATGCAAGCTACTCAATGCAAGAAGCCTTGTAAATAAAATACCTGAATTTCTCCTCTTACTAAATACGGCTAAATTCAACATTATATTTGTCTGTCAAACATGGCTCAACACATCTCTCCCTGACTCCATTACCACAGTAATAGACTATCATGTTTACCGATCAGATCGTAAAAATCGTAGAGGAGGTGGTGTTGCTATCTTTTATAAAAAGTCCCTACATCTAAAAAACATCCAAGTTACCCAGGAGCTTGCTATTCCTGAGACCATCGTCTGTGAACTGTCCTTAAATATCATATTTCGGTTCTTACTATGTTACAGAGCCCCTGGTTATGACATCGAAATGCAAACAAGTTAAATACACTAATAACATGGGCAGCATCCTGCCCACACGCCTTTATCTTTTTTGGTGACTTCAATCTACCTCATATTAACTGGACCCTTAATGAACCCGTACAACTGAACCCACACATGCAACCTTCTACAATGCAGTAACAAATCAGGGACTAGAACAACTTGTAATCAACAACACGAGACTTAACAACTGCCTCAATAGTTGTTAATACTTCTGCAATAGTTTGAATTCAATTTATGGAATACAAATCAAAGAACCCTTTTCCAACAGTGACCACAACATGATTGACTTTTATCTCAACATACGTCCACACAAAAATCATCACGACGACAGAATCCCCAATTATAACTTCAAAAAAGGCCACTATGATCTTATAAACAACGATCTCTCATCCCTTGATTGGCAATTTCTATTCACTGGATACAATACTATAGAAGACCATTGCAACACATTTTTACTTGAAGTCAAAAGAGTCATCAAACTATATGTACCAATAACAACTCCCAAAACAAGAAAAAACAAATTACCCATAACAATAAGGAAGCTTCAATCCAAAAGAAATCACTTTGGCGGAAAAACAAATCTGGTCATGTTGCCAACTTCAAAAGCTGACACAAAAATTTATGCCACCAGATAAAGACTGAATGCACCAATTATCACATTAAACAAGAGGAAAATCTTCTACGCACCAATTCCACCTGTGCTTTCTACAATTTTGTAAACAACAAACTAAAAGAATCAAGGTCCATCCCACCCCTGAAAGTACCTAATGGTAAAGACTGCAATGATGACACTATTAAATCCAACCTCTTTAACACTTTCTTTGGCTCAGTATTTGTAAACAGCAATGGATCAAGCCCAGTACTTCCTAGCTGAACCATAGACAACTACAGTGATCTAATACATATTGATTTTACAGAAGACAATGTTAAAAAAGCACTATGCAATCTAAAACCATCTCTATCTATTGGACTGGATGGAATATGTGCCTACTTCTTAAAAAAGCTATCCACTGCCATAGCCGAACCTCTAAGCATAATCTTTGAAAAATCGTTCAGGACCAGCTCCTTGCCAAAACTATGGTCACAAGCCACGGTCATCCCCATCTTCAAAAAGCGAGACCCCAGCCTAGTTGAAAATTACAGACCAATCTCTTTATGCTGCGTCACCTGTAAAGTCATGGAATCAATTATTAACCAATCCATCATCCTCTACTTGGAGACAAACAACCTACTCTCTAATAAACAATTTGGTTTCAGAAAAAAACTATCCTGTAATCTGCAATTCTTACACTGCAAAACATATGGACTACACAACTCGATCAGGGCAAAGCAATAGACACGATCTACATAGACTTCTGTAAAGCCTTTGATTCAGTGGTACAGACAAACTACTCCTAAAACTAAAATCTTATGGTATCTCTGGACACCTGCATTACTGCATAGAAGCATTCCTGTCAAACAGACAACAAATGGTCAAAATTGGGAGCATCCTATCAAATTCTGTACCTGTCAACAGTGGTGTCCCTCAAGGCAATGTTCTAGGACTAACTCTTTTCATACTCTACATAAATGACCTCTGATCATATTAAGAGCAACGGCGTTCTCTTCACTGATGATGTAAAGCTATTCAACACCACAGACAATACTGCTACCCTTCAAAAAGACCTTGACTATGAATCAGAATGATCAAACAAATGGCAACTTCAAATCTCAACAAATAAATGCTCTGTCTTACATATTGGAAAAAAAATCAGAAAATAAAATACAAGCTGAATAGTCAAGACCTTGTTGATGATCCAAACTCTGTCAAGGATCTTGGAGTGCTCATCTCTAATGATCTCAGTGCTAGAGCCCACTGTAACTACATAGCCAAAAAGGCGTTAAGAGTTGTTAACCTAATCTTATGTAGCTTTTTCTCTGGTAATATTACACTAATAACTAGAGCATACAAAACATTTGCTAGACCAATACTCGAATACAGCTCATCAGTCTGGAACCCACATTACGTATCTGATTTTAACACAGTTGAGAAAGTCCAGAAATATTTCACAAGAAGAGTTCTCCACTCCTCTACTAGTTGCAGAATACCTTATGCCACCAGACTTGAAATTCTAGACCTAGAAAACCTAGAACTTCGCCGCCTTCGGTCCGATCTAAGTATAGTATATAAAATCATACATTGCAATGTCCTACCTGTCAATGAATACTTCAGCTTCAACCATAACAATACAAGAGCAAACAATAGATACAAACTCAAGGTTAATCGCACCAAACTTGATTGCAGGACATACGACTTCAGCAACAGAATGGTCAATGTCTGGAATACTCTACTTGACTCTGTGGTTTCTTTCCCAAACCCTAAAAACTTTAACCTTAGACTGTCTACTATTGACCTCACCCCTTTCCTAAGAGGACTGTAGCGGGCATGCATAAGCGCACCAACGTGCCTACCATCCCTGTCCTATTGTTTCTTTTATTTTATTTTATTTTATTTTTCTTATATGTATCCATGTATTCATAACTATGTTTTTACTTATACCTGTTATCTTGTAAGCAATTGACAAACCAAATAAAATAAATAAATAAATAAACAACAACCTCGTAAGGTTGTTGATGAGGGAGTGACCCAGCTGGCTTTTATGTCTAAGATATTAAAATTATAATTAACTAATGTATTTTTTCACTAAAGAATATTGTTGCTTTTAATAAAAATAACAAAGTCTATGAAGTAATGCATTGTATTTTTATTTTATTATTGCCATAATCAGAATAATTTGTATAGACTGAATTTCATTTGTAGTCTGTTTTCAGTATTTGTGTAATGTTGAAGCACCGTATAATAGAAGGTACTGACTGAATTTGCTGCCTTTGTATATCATGACTGGGATAAAAAAATATCTTTTATCATTTATTACTATTTATCTTTTAATAATGAACAGTATTATCATCATAGCTTACTAATGCTTTAATTTTGTGTCCTTGCTTTGTTACTTAGTATAATTAGCTGAATCGTTTAAAAAAATAATCAAGATATTTCTATTTCTATTTTATCTTTTTTTTATTTTATGTTTATTTTATGATCATGATCATGATTTATCACTTGTTGCTTGCATATACACTGAGAGCTTATCCACTGGAGAAAAATTTCTTGTTTGTCCAATCATACTTGGTCAATAAATAATTTTAATCTATTATAAAGAATTCTATTTTATTATAAAGAATTCTATTCTATTGTACTCTATTTTAGCACACACTTTAGAGATAATTTTTAGTTGATCTTTGGGAATTAGGAGTAGGAGTATTCAGTATATTTAATATATTTTAATGTTCAATTTGAAAATTTCCCACAGATTACTAAAATGAAAAATGTATATAGTTTTACTTCACCTGATTTAATGAAAATGAATGAAAGATGCCAGGAATCCCTGAGAGAAATCTATCACATGACTTACTTGTGAGTAACAATTATATTGATTATTCTAAGTAGAATCACTGTGTTAAATGATAGTGAGGCTTTTAAAATTGTTGTCATGAAGAACCATAGACTATAAAGTTTTTAAGACTGGGACTGTGCCTCAATTCTGGAGCCCAAAGACCTGGCTTTTTAGAAGTTTTAGGACCTGTTCCTGTCTTCATGATTCAGTCTCTACTTCAGCCTTGATTGTACAATGTACATAATTTAGATGCCTGCCAATAATCAGACACCAAAATGGGTGCTACATATAAGCAAATACAGTACTGTAATGTCTTAAATGTGTTTCATCTGGCCTTCCCAGAATTTTTTTAAAAAATTTATTTATGTTTTGCATTTCTGGACTGACCATTTCCCTCAAAGAGGGATTCTGGCACTCTTTATCAGCAGCCTCTACCAAAGAAATGAAATATTACTGAAAACTTAGAATTTTGAAGGCAAGAAGTCTTTAAGAGCCATCTTGTGTTATCTGTACAAAATGTCACTGGTCTTGTGACAAGCTGTATAGCAGACACACAAGTGATTTATATTTTATATCTCATTTATTATATCCTTGTGTGTGAGTGTGTGTGTGTATGTGTTTATACACACACAAACACTCCAAAAGTAATTTAACACAAGCCAGAAGGAATAAAAATAGAGTTTCGTAAATTTAGTTTCCCCTTTTAAATGAAATGTTTTGTTTGATAATTGGATCAATTCTTAGTGTATTAAATAAAGAATGTATTTGCAACATTTCATTCACATTTCAACTCACCTCTGGCATTCGCTAAAAACAACTGGAACAGGTTTGACCCATTTCCAAAGAATAAGTACGGTATATATAAGCTTACTTGCCTGATATCATGACCAGACTAATGAGCATATCTAATGATGTAATTAGAGAATATATTTCTATATCACTTAGTGATATAGGTAGTTAAGGAGCTAGACAACTGAAGGCATAAAAGAGAAATCATTTACGAAGCTTTTTATTTTTCTGTCCTCCATTTTGTAAAAAGGTGATTAGAGCTTGATCCAGTAAATCAATCTGCAGACTATTTCTCCCGAGTTGTATTCTATTGTGGTCACGAAAGAAAGAAAAAAGTGCTAAAATCAACTCTTTCACTGTGGAGCCAGAAAAGGAGCATCTCAATTCTAGTCACAAACTGACTTACCAAGAAAGAAGGCTGCTTGTAGGTTTATTATCTTGATGCCTCCAGAGATACCGCAAGCAAAGTTTAAAGACACTAGTCTCAATGTTAGCCCTTGAGTGACTAATATTCTATGGCATGCAATCAGGCCTAAGAGTTATTAAACATGCCATTTATCTTTGAATTTGTCTACTTTGTCTGTTTAATAAAGCCATTGAAATGATTGCATAATCAATACACTTTGCAGCAATTGATTTCTATAAATTAATTATGCATTATATGAAGAAACATAAAAACATTCTTCCTTATGCTCTACATCAAATGCTAATAAATTTTATAGAGTGACTATATGAGAGTTTCATAAAAATTGCGCTGTTTTTAATACCCTTCATAACTGCATGCACTTTATGAGCATTTTCTATATTATTTTAAAGGACCACATGGATTTTCCTCACAGGAAAGTTTCTGTAATCTTTTAAAGCTGCTGTGTCTTTTAGTTGGGTAAATTTTATTTAAAATCCCACTAAACAACCAAGCTAACAACTATATTAATTTATATGACATCAAATTGTAGTAGCAAATTTATTTTAGCTCATTTATTATTAGCCTCACATCCAAAATATTTCTCTTTCAATATTGATGCCTCCAAAATTGTTGTTTTCATTGAACCACGGTAACTTAATTTCAAAATTCCAGTCATTCAAAGGTCTTCTAGAACCCTAAGGTTTTTAAATGGGCTTGCTCAAAGAACAATAGGAACCACTTGAGAGTCATACAGAACCTGTTGGCCATTAAATGTATCATCTGGTATTATAATATTCACTTAAGTCATTTCTTTAAAACAGGGCTATCAGTAGATTTCTTTAAAACAGGGCAATCATAATCAGTAGATTATGTTTCTCTTAAATTAGATATATACATTAACAAATACATATCTCAGCCAAGCATTCCTAAAACAAAGCATTGTTTAGAGATTGCAACCTCTAAAAGTCCTGCGTTTGACAATTTTAAATTTTTGTCCCTTAAAATGGAGATAAGTTAATTCACAGATTTGGATCCTGAAGATCCAAAACCTGCTTTGATCAGCTTATGTCACATTTCTAATATTTCTTTTTCCCTTTTCAGAATTTCTTTACTGACTGTTAGGGCCTTCTTTATGATTTCAGATTATATTCCTTGGCATGTTAACCCATGAACCCTAAACATGCATTTTGCATTTCAGATTTTTGAATCTGAAAATGTCTGATAGTAAAGTGTATTTTCATAAGATAACCAAGTCCCTTTTATACCAATACTAGTTTATTTCTAATATTTGCAAAATATTTCCAGCCTTAATTGTTATTCAGTTCTGATAAGGTATGATGTAATAATGTCATTATTTTGTGCCACATAAATTCTACCAACAATTTTTTAATATTACAGTTATGTAAAGGAAAATTTCTTAGACTATAGTGATACATTTATTAATAGTAAATTACTTTAAACGGTAAAATAATACTTATGCTTGTTTACAGGATAGTGTGCAAACTATTGAGTGAAATCTATGAGCATATCCATTGCTTGTACAAACTCTCTGACACTGTCTCTATGCTAGATATGTTGCAGTCATTTGCCCATGCTTGCACACTGTCTGACTATGGTAAGTAATTTTGTTTCTTAAAACAACTCCCACTGAAACTTACACCAATTATTTTTTTAAACCATATCTTCAAAGTAATTCACTACAATAGTCCTTGTTTTTTTAGCAACTGCCTTGCTTAGTGACAGTTCACAGTTACAATGGTGATCAAGTTTCAAAGTTTTTTTTTATGCCCAATCCTCACATTTAGAACCATCACAAGTCTATAAAGCAAAACAAAAAAGCTGAAGTAAAATCATAAGCATAGTTGCAGTTTCACTTAATGATGACTTTGATTAACAGTCAAGTTGTTCGTCTTAATGGTAGTTGCTAAACAAGAACTACTTGTAGTTCTAATATAATGGAAAGAAATACTTAAGTAATGTAAAAAAAAAATAAACAATAGTATCAAGCATAATCTTACTGCCTCATTGAATCAGCATGCAAGTTCCTAAGATGTATTTTACAGTACTGTCATATTATGACAGCCCATACCTTAACTGTAGGAATTTTTTGGCACACAGATTAATATTTGGGTAAATACTATCATTCTATTATAACAAAGTTAAAGATAGAATACATAATATTTGAAAACCTTCTTGGAAGGATCTTATTAACAGTGTTGATAAAGGTTGAAGTGTGTGAACATATTGCTCTCGAGGTATTCCACAATTCTGACAATGGACGTCTCAGAATATCGTATCTCAAAAGAAATTATTTTTAAAATAGCAGTTTCCTATTACTTTCTTTGTTTATACTTCATTCCTGCCACAGTTCTGATTTCTAAAATAAATACGCAACTGGAAAATTATATAGATTAGACTTATATTTAAATTTAAAGATGCTGCATATGTGTTAAGATATACAAGTTTCACTTTTGTTTAATTTAGGCTGCAGGCAGTGGCACACCTAACATTTGATAACCTGAACTGGATCATTTTTAACAGCCCCTTTATTGCTGAGAGCTAGTTTGGTGTACTAGCTAAAGTTTTAGACTAGAAACCAGGAAACTATAAATTCTAATTCTACCTTAGTTACAAAGCCTACTGGGTGATCTTGGACAAGTCTCTTCTCTCACTCCTATGAAAAAGAAACTGGCAAGCCATTTCTGAAAAATGCTGCCAGGAAAACTACAGGGGACAGTTACCAATTGTGACTTGAAAGCAGTCCCCCCCCTGCTTCATCACTGCTGTGCTGCTACCCACTGCCAAACAGCAGATTGGCATGAAGGCATTAACAATTCTACACCCACTGCTAGCTTCTTTATGTTTCAAAAAGCATTCCCTTTATTGCCTGCCTCCAGGGTGGACCACACGTATGTAGCCCTCCTTGGCACACCACTTGCTGGAGGGCTGTGCAATTTTGTGAGAATAAGCCTTAATGAAAAAAGCCACTTATTTACCTATATGTAGGATTGCATTACTCCTAAAATGTTGCATGTTCTGCAGATAGTAATATTAAAAATTTAGGAATAGTGCAAGCCTACACATTGTTTACATTACATAACATATACATTTCTGGATGGTTCATAAACCAGCTTGTGTTACACTATATACTTGTCAGTAGCAAATGATATTAAAATATGTTATTGTCTTTCTTCCTTCTAGTACGTCCTGAGTTTACAGATACTTTAGCCATAAAGCAAGGATGGCATCCAGTTCTTGAAAAAGTACATTTTGAGAAACCTGTTTCTAATGATACCTATATCACAGAAGGAAGTAATTTTATAATAATTACAGGACCAAATATGAGTGGAAAATCAACCTACCTAAAACAGATAGCCCTTTCTCAGATTATGGCACAAATGGGTAAATAATAACTTCTCTAAATACGTGTGTGTGTGTGTGTGTGTGTGTGTGTGTGTGTACCAATTATGATTTATAAGTAAAAGGATATTTAAGTGTATAAAAATAATATACAATTTTCTTACTATTTCACAAATTTGACAAAGCTAAAGTTAGTTCAAATGCAGTAAACCCATTTTTGTTCCTTTCCTTAATCTGCAGGTTCTTTTGTCCCAGCAGAATATTCTTCTTTTAGGATTACTGAACAAATATTTACCAGAATAGGTATGGATGATGATATAGAAACAAATTCATCAACGTTCATGAAAGAAATGAAAGAGGTATTCATTTAATTGAGTTAGAGGTTGTTAGTTAATAAATGGCCTTGATTCATATTTAATTGATTTATAGGATATATATTCATAAACAGATTTAGATGCAGCTAGATCAAAATGATATCATGTGTGTCATGATGTCACCATATAAATAAGGCAAATGTGATGTCTGTGTCCTTTTGCTTCATATGATACAAAACAATGAATGAAGGCGAATATATGTGTTTCAGGAAAATGTCGCAGGATCCAATCTAGGTTGGTCACAGCATACACTCTGCTAGGGAGAAGTTCCCTGAAGTTGGGCTCCAGCACGAGTCCAAAAACTTGGAAGACAAAACCTCTCATCCCAATGACCCCGACCCAGATTGGATCCTGCAATCCAAAACCAATGCAAATATCTTTTAACAGTATTTACTACTCTTGTTATTTTTTGCTTTATTATTTTAATGGGTAGTAGTACTAATGTTTGTAAGTCATCCAGAGTCATCTCTGGACAGGATGGGTGGCACATAAGTAAAATAAATTAATAAATTGGTGTAATGAATTACACATTTGTATTGCTTTGTGTCATACTTGTGTCATGACATCATGACATAGATAGCTTTATGACCTATTTACTTCCCTTACCTACAGTCCCTTATTGTCTGCACCCTTAGCTTAACTTGAAAATAACTTTTTCAGTTAATTATACATATTTAATTTTATTCTTTTAGGAAAAATGTTTAAACAGATACAAAACCTCCAAATTTTGTAAGAGGTACAAATCCATGTGTATAGTCTACGAAGGGTTTCCATGTCTTATGGAAAAGATACAGTAATAAGAGAAATAGCAAGTAAAAAAACAGCAATCAAAATAGCAATCAGAATGGAGCATTCTTACCTACTACACACAGATATGCTTCTCTCGGCATTCCTCCTTGCGTCCTGTTTAATAGTCTAAACTTACGTATTTATTTATTTTACTTATCAAACTTATTTGTTGCCTATCTCTTGGTTCAAGGTGACTCTGACAAGTATTGGATTCTGACAAGCTACTTTTCATCAGTCTTGGTATGCAAATTTGTTATGATTTAGAAAATGGTTTGTGAAGGAGTCTAGGTGTTCTTGATCAGTTTTAGATTATAGAAGTTCATGCCCGATTCTTGGTACTTTTATCCATCAGTCCTACTCTGATCTTCTCCTGATCTTTGACATATCATTGTTCTAGTCCACCCAAGCATGCAGGGTCCCTTTTAATGCACTGACACATTTGGATTGATTATATGCACTTTATTAGATTGAATATTTTATCATGTAATTCATTAAGCTCATTATCCATCATAATCACTGGAACAGGTCATTTGCTGGGCAAGCCTGCAAAGTAGCTATTTTCTTTTCAAGCAGGTTTTAATGGTTCAGCTAAACCTTATTTGCATTCAAACTACACTTTTAACAGGTTTAATAATATAGGATTGAATCTTAAATTTTCACTTCAGTCTTATTGTTTGAACTGTGATTTAACTTGCTGGAAGTTGCTTCTTGTGTAAATGTGAGTAGAATATACAATTAACATGATTTTTAAATTGATGATGTCTCTTTTTGAGGATGTGTCATGAATTTAGAAATTTTGATCAAGCACAGGCCCATCTGAACCCATCACTACAAACAAAGAATTAATCAAAGGTGATTGCTGTACAATAATTTCTTTTCAATTACTCCAGCATCGTGGAAGATCAGCATACAGCATAAAGTTATGCATGCATTTGTGGAAATTGAAACTATTGTGAATACAGAGAACTTTTGAATTGGGCTGTTTGTGCTGATTAATGATTTGTTTTTAGGTGGCAGCTGGTTGACTGTTACTAAACTAAATTTCCTATCTGGGGTTTGAGCAGGAAATGAAAGTATCTTTATCCACATATGGAATATTAATAATGAAATTTGATGTCTCTTTCATTAGGTAACATACATCATACAAAATGCTAATGACAGATCACTTATCATAATTGATGAGCTTGGCAGAGGTACCAGTCCTGAGGAAGGCATCGGCATATGTTACGCAGTCTGTGAATATCTTCTAAATTTAAAAGTAATATTATTTTAAAAACATATTTTCTTATACCTTCTGCTATTTTTTCCCATTTCAATAATTCAATTCAGTTCTTGTTTCATTTTGCAGGCATTCACACTCTTTGCTACTCATTTCTTGGAATTATGTCAAATTGATAACTTATATCCCAATGTGGAAAACAATTACTTTGAAGTGCAGCATGTAAGAAGCAGTTGTGAAATTAGGGAGAAAATTGCTTATACTTACATTCTTTCTAAAGGATGCACAGAGGAAAAAAATTATGGTAATAGTCCTGATTCATTAAGGCTTATGACAACACACACAAGAAAGTTTTGATATATGATTTGCATATGCGGAGGGGATCATCTAGCATAAGAGTTTGCACATGCAATTTTAGCTATATTTAGAACAGTATGCTTTTATTTAAAAAACAAGATATTAATATTTTATGATGTGTTCGTTATTGAGTCTAGCAAGTCACTAAGACTAGAGGCTAGTTTTATTAGCCTCTCCATTTCACAAGGTGTTTTATTTCTTGTCACTAACTAATATTTTTCTCATGGCATTTGAAATATTATTAGGAATAAATGAATTTATATTTGGATCTGGTAAGTTTTCATGGACGAGGATCTAGTTCCATCATTCTGTTTTATGTTGAAACGTATACATAAAAGAGTCAAATTTGTTAGCATTAAGATTAGGAAAGAAATTAAGTGCATGAAATACAAGCTGTAATAATTATGCTGTACATGCTCTTCGTTTTCTTGTCTCTTGGCCTCAGTAAAACAGGTGTTTCTCAAATCCATAACAGAGTCTACAAGCAAGTTGTGGAAAGGCTGCTGATCTGCAAATTGCTGTAATGTTTGATATATTTGAGTCTAGGTGGTTACTCTGTAGGATTCCGAATATAATATCACAATTGTGATATTATATGGGCAGCTATATAAACTTGATAAATAACTAAATGAAGTGGATTCTTGGTAGATTACAGTATTTAGAATGGAGAAAACAGAATGATATGTAGGTTTGTTTTTAAAAATATAGAAGTCTGATGTCGGCATTGTGCTTTTGATTGTGTAAATATAATTAAAAAATAGATCCATAAAAGTATGTCATATTGTTTAGTCTTCTTGTCTTCTCAATTTAGTATCACATCTACTTGAACTCTCACTTTAGTTAAAAAAATGTTCTTAATTCTGATCTGCAAGCCTAATTCTGATCTGCAAGCCTACTTCAGATTTTTAAACAGATCCTATTTAAAAAGGAAATGTGCCAAGGTAACACTGACTCATGGTTAAGATTAATAATAGGAAGGAAAGAGTTTGAATTGCATTTGATCTGGTGTTTGGCAAAACAGATGTTTTTATTAAACGACCTTATCTTTCACAGTAAAAAAAAAAGGCTTCATTTTCTTTTTTTACATTTAGGCTTGAAAGCTGCAGAGGTTTCCTCTCTTCCATTATCAATAATATTGGATGCCAAGAAGCTAGTAACTCTTATTGATAAACAAATGATGGTATGTATTATTAGCAGATAACTTCAGAACATATAATAAAGGTTGTTGTTTTTTTCATTTTATATTCTATTATTAACATGCTTACTTTTCATTGAATTTTGTTGAAAAAATATTTTGAAATGTGCTCTCTACATTTTTTTTTTGTAGTGACATGTGAAGTAATGTACAATATGAATTAAACCGCGGAAGTCACAGAAATACCAGTAAATCTGGCTATAAAAGAAAAATGGCTTCATATATATATATATTTAGCCAAAAAGCGTTAAAGCCATAGATTTAAATCCTAACATGCACTAAACTTGGATTTGTTTAATCATGTTTCCTCAATACACTAAGCATAATATAGTTTGCAGATCAAAGGCTGGATTCACTCAACTCAATAAATCATATTAAGTTTCAATACAATAAAGAGAATTGGAGGAATATTTGGTCCTCATCCAATTCAGTATTGCATTGGTATTTTAGGATGGCATGACAACATCTCTGACAGATGGCTCTGTAGAGCCCAACACTTCACAGGCAGTGCTTTTCAAAGCTAAAGATTCCTAATATTATAAAGCTTTTTCCAATGTTTAACTGAAAACTGCTTTCTTGAAGCTTCAGTCCTATAGTTTTACTACTGCCCTCAGGGTCAACAGAAGATCAGTTTTGGCTTTTGCATTTGCATTTCAACCTTTCAGATTTTTAAGACTGCTACCATATTTTCCTTAACTATTCAGGCTAAATCTACCAAACACTTTAAATCATTTCTCTTAGTACTTGTTTTCCAACCTCTGTCTATTCTTTTGATGTTTCCCAGGTTGTCAGTGTCTGTCTTGTAACAGAATACATCAGAGCAGCTGATCGATGGAGAAGAGAGCAGAAGAGAGATCATTTTCTATGATCTGAATATTATGTATTTTTTATGAGTTAACATTTTTAGCAGCTTTCTCATGTACTGCTTCCAATTCATCAAAACTTTCACATTTTTTTTTTTACATAACGAAATGCAATAGCTTATATTCAAGCCTTGAATTTTATTTCTCTTTTGTTTTTATTTTTATTTTGTTGATTTTAGAGCAACGCTCTGGGATCCCAAAATAATTTTGAATACCCTTTCTACCTTATTTTATCTGAAGGTCTGACAAACAGTCCCTCTTTTAGATCATTTATAAAAATGTTGTCAAGCATAGTCTTGCAATCTTCCATTTAGATATCTGCCCAGCCTGGCAACATCCATTAACAAGCAGATAAATCTAAATATTCTTTAATCATAGATTAATCCTTCATCATTACCATTTCCTGTCTGGATTAAAGCTCAGATGATTAGCCTACAATCAGTACTACCATTTATGATGGATTAAATACTGCCCCTGTATCTCATGAAAATCTTTGTCATAAAATACGGCAGCATAGAGCTTCAAATCCACATTTATCTGTTTACTCAGGAAGTTACCAGGCGGAAGACTATATCGCATAATGCCAAAAATCTTCCTGCACAATCTTCTAGCAGAAAAGATATTTTGATAACATGCTGGGTTTTTTTTCTTTTTCTTGACAAACTATCCCTATCAGACCGAGCAGTCTAATAGTTCAAGCTTCTTTATTAACCAACCACCTGCAACCCACCTAATAACTTTAAAGAAACTTTTAAACTTTTCTGTGAGAATTCAAGGGTCTCTTACTGTAGGCATGGCAAAATTTTTGGTAATTATATCAAGTAATCACCCCTCGTTATTTTGAAAGAATGTGTTTATTTTTCGCTGAAAACAGCTCAGTTAAAAAAAGGTGGACATTACGGCATACTTATAGACCAAACTATATTAAATAACAAAAATTGGAGGATTCCCAATTCATTATTTCCAGCACTGCTGCAGCATCTGTATTTGCAGGAGAGAAAGCAAGCTGGCTTTCCCTTCCCCCTCCCATATTCCAGTAGTTATTCTCTGGAAATGGTTCTCCCATGAAAGTTTCCCAACTGAGCTGGAGATCCTTGTAAGGAATAATAGAAAATGGATACCTAAGTCAGCCAATCTCCCAATTATCCATTACCATTCCTGCTGGCAATTCTATTCAACTAGAGTTTTGAAGGCTAATACTGGCATCTTCTTTTTCCTACATAGACCACATTCATCACATTCCTCAGGACTGGAGTGCTGCCATTAGTACACCATACAGATAATCCTTGGCTTACAACCATTTTGTTTAGTGATCATTCAAAGTTACAGTGGCACACACACACACAAAGAGACTTATGAACATTTTTCATACTTATGGCAGTTGCAGCATCCCCACAACCACGTCATCAAAATTCAGATGCTTGGCAACTGGTTCGTGATGGTTGCATCGTCCTGGGGTCATGTGATCACCTTTTTGCAGCCTTCTGATAAGCATAGTCAATGGGAAAGCCACAATATTGCAGCAATTCATTGAACAACTGTGGCAAGAAAAGTCATGCAATGGAGCAAAACTACTTAACAGCTGTCTTGCTTCATTGTGGTCATAAGTCAAGGACTACCTATATTCAGAAAAGAGGATAAGAGTGCTCCAATCAACTAACGTCTTACAGGTTTGCTGAGCTCTATTAGAAAACAGGTATATGATTTGGCTAGAAACAGGAACAATGAGCTAGAAGGTTTTCATTCCGGCTATTTCCTTTTAATCATCTTGTTCCTACAAACTCTTACCCTAAAGTTTGACGGCAAAAATAGGTCTGTAGCTTTGCTTTCTCATCTTCTACAGTGATTTAATTGATTAATGTGAGAATACGTTAATCAACTATAACTAACTGATAACTGATGTTGTGAATATCCTAAACATTCAGTTTTTAATATGCGCGTGTCCTTTTAAATAAACAGCAACAGCAAAGAACAGATCCTGAAATATTAAAGGAGAAGGCTATGTATCACTTAGCAAACAGATTGATTCAGACTGCTCGCAACTCTCAACTGGATCCAGACAGCTTGCGAATATACTTGAAAGGTTTGAAGAAAAAGTATGAAACTGATTGCATTGCCTCTGAACAAGTAGCTGCAGATGTTAGATGACGGTAAATCATGTACACTCTATTCTGCAGAATTAACTAATGCAAATACAGTTAGAATTAAAATTATATTTACATAACCATTACTTTTTATAAGTCACTATATGTCTGGGATATTTTTTTCCTAATATATAATTGTTATATTTTAATTATACAGTAAATGCATTCTTAATTAAATGGGAAATATTAACAAGAACATATAATGAAATTATTACTTTAAATAACCCCACAAAAATTAAGATTAACCGAAAGGTTTTATTTACAAAAGATCTCATCACATTTTTTAAAAGCATGTATTGATCCATTAATATGACTTATAAAAATGCAGTATTAGACAAACAAAAGAACTGTTCTTTGTCCAAATGTAGACTGAGACAGAAAGAGAACAAAACAACAATTTGCTAATCACTTTATTTGAGACTTAGCGATATCTGTTCATTTTAGGCTATGTAGATATGTTCACTTAATATTTCTGTTGTTTTCTTTTTAATGATTTTTAAAATTTTCTTGTATTAATAATGATTACAGTTTACGTTAAAAGAAAAGAAAAATGTAAACAAATCTGAACATTTGTATAATGTTCATATTATATATTTATTAAAGTTTGATTAAAGTGACCTCAGTAAGCTGAATAAATCAAATTTTCTACACCTTTGCTCCAAATTTTGTAGAGCCATTTGTTTGTTTCAATAGAAGATAATATTTGTAGGTTAGGGTTGATGATGTTACCTAGTTTGGTAATGAAATATCTGCAAGAAAACCACTAAGCTCAGAATACCAAGGACCCAAGATTTGATTGATGGATTTCTGTACCTACCCATCTCAACAATACATATGCTTACTAAATAAAACTATTAATGTTTAATACAGACAAGAAATGGGACCCTTAATATACTGGGACCACAGATATTTCCTATAACTATCAGGAGACTATTAAGCAGCTGTTTGAAATATAAAAGCAATATCTACATATTTTCTGTATATTTTATTATAAAAATGTATTTTGTGGATTTATAGAGAGGGTGATCTCCTAGGAAGCAGATTATACAGAAAGCAATAATACATTTTGTTATGCTTAGACCTTTTGGCAGAATTAAAATAAGTTCATATTGAAGTATCATAATAGCAGTATTTCTTTGAAATACAATTATGGCAAATAATTATATATATATAAAAGCGAAATACCACTCACACATCATCACAAAATCTCCAGAACCATAAAGCCTACAAACTTGAAATTTGGCACGTATGTTCCTCTTGGCTTCTAGGTGCTCACTAAGAAAGAATTTTTCAAAATGACCATCAGAGCATTAGTATTTCGTATATTATTATTAACACGCTCTGATGCTAAGGAGTTCTACTCCCTCTCCCCACCTGAAAAGAAATATGTCCCAAATGCAAAACACAAGCAGAGGAGAGGAGTTTCAATTTCAGTTTTAGTTTCACAGCACCAAGCAGCTTTAGTACAGAACAGTTCAGCTAAGGCACGCCCAGGCTCCTTGCTGTCTCTTTCTTGCTCACAGAGCAAATACTGTTTCAGTTTCCAAACAGCCCTCACATCTCTCACACATTGACAGGACGCTAGCCAGATGAATACCGATGGATGCTGATAGGCAGAGGCAGAATTTTTTCCCCTTATTTTCCTCCTGAAAAACTAAGCCTGACCATATTAGTTTCGTAGCGAAGCAAGGGTATCAAGCTAGTGTGAATATGAAGCACACACCAGTAGTACAAGAAAAATTAGAAGTGCTAAAATTCAGCTCTTTTTTTTACAACAAAGTTGTACGATTGTAGAATATGTTTGCTGCTGGGGGCAAACTTTACTAATTGTCTGTATACAGGAAGACTTATACTGTAATACTTCAAGATTGAAACCCTTTTTATTTGATAATGCATAGAAGTTGGAAAACTGCCATAAAGCAGGAAACATGAAAGATTAAGGAAATACAGTGCCAAGAGGACATGCAGGGCAACATGTCATCTGTTTTGTGAGTGAGCCAGATGTCACTGTTAGAATAACATTTTAATACAAATCAAGAAAATAACTTTAATTTATAGCTTAGATTGGAACAGTCCAGCAATCAGAAGCAACTAAGAATGAGATCAAGTATGTAATGTTTAAGAAAAGAATTAAATTTTACATTGTCATGATCAGAATATAATTTTAAATATGAGATCAATTCATGTGTTGCATATACAATACCTGCCTCCAAAATTCAAGCAGCAGGTAAACTGAACTGTCACCTAGCCTAAACCAGAAAGAGATCTCTGTTACTTTAGAAAAGTGTGGGTATCATGTGCTTTGTTTGAGTCCATATTCAGGGACCTTGTTGCACAAGATAATCGGAGCAGTCCCCTTCACAATATATTTTCTTAACATCTGAAACCTTGACAGAATGGTTTCTAATTATTACAAACAAACCCATTTTTGTCTAAGCTGTATTTGCTTTATTTGGCATCAAAAAAGATTCCAATCGATGGATCATCTACAGACTCCTCTTAGGCATTTGGTGGACTATTATAAACCGAGAACATAAGATAAAGCTAGAATACAAATCTAGGTTACATTTATTGTTTAATCCATTGAGTTCTCAGAAAGTGGCAAGTGCATGGTTGTCCTTGTTTGGAAACTAAGCAGGCTTGCTGGTTAGTTCTTGGATTGGATGGGAGATTTTCATAGAATTCCAACACAATAGGCTAGAGTGGGAAATTGGGGTGGAGGGACAACATAAATGTATCATTGAAGGTGCCAGAATCAAGCTTGACTACCGGTAGATATTACTTCAATGTCTGTGGTCCAGATGTTAATTCAGAGGTAGACTAAATACAGTCTTGAATGGCAAACACAATTCTCAAGCTGGAAGGACTTGGACACATGACCTGTACTTCAAACCAGTGGTAGTGAGTATTTAATTTTTTAGTTAAGATGTTTTGTCTTATGATAGATTTAGTTACCCATATATTAACTTGTATGGGGGGGTTCTATTTACTCAATCTTTTTACCTTTTTAAATAGTTTTTAGGTTGTGTGTGTATGTGTGTGTATTTAAAACTTTTCTTTAATTTGTGTATTTTTTTTAACTTTTAAAATTATTAATTGCTTGTATTTTACCATTTTTATATTGGTCTGT